AATAGTAACATTAACAGCTGATAAATTGACTTATAAAAATTCATTTAAAATGTAAGTTATTCCAATATTTAAATAGACTTACATAAGTTTACATAATTTATATGTGTAAAATAGAAAAATTAATGTAAAATTTTTAAAATTAATTAGATATTTGAAAATGACAACTTTACTAACCTAGTTGTGAAATTAAGAGAGTTAGATCCACAAGCCACCTTCCCAAACCACCCATGGCATGATAACCTAAAGTTAAATATCAAAAATAAACATTATACAGTAAAAACATAATGATGATAATACAGTAAGTACAAAAATAAATAAATAAAAGTTTCTTAATTTTCAAAAAATAATTACAATACTAATGTAATTAATATAATTTTACTATCATTTACTTATTTTTAGTTAAATCTACCAATCATATACAAGAAATCATATATTTAATTTATGCATTCCTAAACAGATTATTACATAAACTTAAATCATATGCACAATGTTTGAAAATTAAGATTTTAGCAATAACAATANTATATATATAAGGCAAAAAGTACATTAACAGTGTTACTAAACTCACACAAACATCCTTAAATATCACCACCACTAAAATAATAATAAAATGCTAAAATTAATATCCAATAAAATACTTAAATCACACACTTAGCTGTCAACAGCTTTACAAATTCCATGATAAACTTTTTATTACACTATATTATACACTACAACAAATGATTGAAAATGTGTTGTTTCACAAATATTGTAATAAATCATTGCGGCCTTATATTCTTCTCATGCATCAAGGGGCCATAATTATTTCTTTTAGATGATTCACTTTTAACATGGTCACATGGAAACATGCCCCACTTACAGCAATTAAACAGATAATTTACTTAATAATCAAAATATATTTAGTCTTAATCTTACTTTATCAACAGGTAAAATTGTTTTATTTTCCTTTGCTAAAGGGATATTGGTTTTACATTTTATTATTTTAGTGATATTGTTGAGTTTACGAATGTTTGTATGAGTCTTGTAACACTGTTAATGTATTTTTTGTTTTATATATGTAAAGGTATAGTTTAGAAAAAAAAACAGCTGGCAACACCAGAACACAAGCGTTGAGATCTGGCAACACCAGAACAAAAGCATCAAGATCTGACAACACTGAAAGAGAAGTTTTGAGAAGATGAAAAAAGAAGGACCACATGTTAACGACAAAAAACACAAGGTGGGAAAAGAAACTTTACATATATATATTATATGATCAATAAAACTCAAAATGGCCCTCAACAACACGGACATGGAGGATCAGGATATCATCCAATATTTAACAGCAAAAGAGAAATGATGAGGGCCATTTAACACCAGGGACTGAAATGCATTTTAGATTGTAAATAAAGCAATAATGGTTTCAGTTATGTGATAACCCTTTAATAAAACTATTTACTATGTATTTGTAGAAAGTATGATGTATTAAAAATATATTTTAATTTTCAAATCCTGTTTATAATGTCATATCAAAATTTTATTACATTTAGAATTCATTTTTGGTTATTTAAAAAATTAAGAAAGTTTTGCTTTATTAAGTATTAGTGTAAAATCAAACAATACTAATTATTTTTAAAATTACTTGTAATCAAATACTTCTCTGTGTGTATAAATTATTTTACTTCAATTTTGTTTTTGATACTGTTTTCTTTCATATCTTACAGAAAAAAATTAATGAGTTAGTTGAAAGAATGAAAAAAATGAAAGATGAAAAAATTAAATATGTTGTTATTGAAATTAAATATTATTTCCATATACTGTATACTTAATGTAAATGAAATATTTGTGTGATAAATTAAAGTAAATATATTTAATAAGTTCTAGGGGTTTTAGCTTTGTAATTATAAATTAATTTCTTGCTATTTTCTTTACTTAAAATCTGCTTATATTACACATAATCTTTAGTGTACAGATTCAAAATTATATAAAATTTTCATTGCTAGAATATTTTATTGGTTAAACTTATTCCGTCATTTTTTTAAATGAGAAGACTTAAATACCACTGTTAAAACCAACAGATTTAATTGTCTTTTTCCAGTCTAGAAAAAAAAATTTCATTTAAGACAAATTACATGCGAAATAAAATGAATATTTAAATACATTTGTTTGTAATCTATTTGTCAATTAATTAATTTATTTAATAATGAATTATTTATCAATATTTGTATTTCTTTCATTATTGCAAACTTTTTGGCTATGCTTTTATTCCTACAAACACAAATGAATAGTTTAATATAGTAGAACCTAAGTTTAGCAGATATATAGATGGAGACTGCTTAGAACAGGTATTCACTTAAGAAAAGGAATCCACTGTTGTATATTTTTCAACATACAATGGTTTTTTTAAATAATCAATACATGCTTTTGTAATGTATGATAAAAACAGAATTTAGAAGTAGACAAAGAATTTCTAAAATTATAGAGCTAGTTTTACATTAAAATTAATTAATATAATTTGACACTAGAAACTGTATTGAATTTAATAATAAAAAATTAGCGATTAATTTAATTTAGAGAAATNAATGCTTTCGGATAACAAACGTTTCGGATAACCAGCTTTCGGATAAACGACGCTCTACTGTAATTCACTTTAGAGTTTGAATGATGTTTCAAAGTTCAAACTGTGCATGCAATGAAAAAATTCACTTGAAGTACAAACACAATCCATCTTTTGCTTGCTCAATTTACACTGTTTTCAGTGCTTTTTTTTAACTTTATTTTAGGTGTGATTTTTTTTCAACTTTTAACAATTTCTTCCTGCAACTTTTCTTTATCAACAGATTTTGGATGCTCCATACATTTCATATCCTGTACTTCAAAATTTCCTGAAAGGAACTTTTTAAACCATCTCCGATATGTTCAGAGTTTAGGAACATCTTCCACTTACACATCAGAAATTTTTTTACTGTTTGTACAATGTCATATCTTTTCCAAAACTTAAAGCATATTAATATACCCTATATGTGTGAGATTCCAGCCACAATCCGAAATTTGTATTAATTGTGTAAAATTTTAAAATTTCTAAAGTAAAAAGAAAAACTAAAATGAAACTTATGCAAGAGAAATGTCGCTGATTGGTTAATCATTTGGATTAGCCAATCAGTGACCGGCTTGTGAGAGATGAAAGACCAGAGACGGTGACCAGAATAAGGCCCCATATTAGATTGTTAAAATTCTAAGATGTTAGGAAAAAGGAAATAATGGGTTAACAAAAACTGCCTACATTGTTTCTGATAGCACTTGTTTATGTCTCAGTGAGCTGGCTATCCATAATAGTCTTTTTTTTGGGTGCTATGTTCTGGCACCCAAAAAAGAAAGGGCTGAATTAAGAATTAAGAAAAATAAATTAGCACTTAAATTGCCATATCACTGGCAATTTAAGTGTTAATTTATTGGCTAAGCAGGGAGCTTTATATCCTTTTGTAGAGCCTGAACCAGCTCTTGGTATTATCTATAATACTTTTTTTAGATATGTCAAAAAATAGACTACCTCCAATTATTCTCAGCACTAAAAACCTAACTCCTGGTTTAATGCAGAGCAAGGCATTTCTGTCTAGCATGCTCTCTGGGCAAACTAAAGATTTGTCTTTCAAAAGAAATCATGTTTGCTTTTTAGTCAGTGTTGTGACTGATTTTGTCACTTTTATAAACATATGTGCCAACTGAAACTGCTGCACTTTTGCATAGCTACTGAGAACATTCCTCTGTATCCCTTTTTTTGAGTCCTGAACATGTTCCTCAGCTTTCCTTCAGAGAACTACTGTCTTTTTTTCTTAGAATTAAACTTCTGAAGTAATTTTTTTTGTGAACTGCACAATGGACCTTTCAGATCAAGATGCATTTGGCCTGCCAGTCTATCTGTACAATAAACCATAAAATCATATAATGCTAATGTATATGGCATAAAACAGTAGAATATTATAATACACCTTTGTTTATGCTCTGCCATTTGCATCAGATGCATGATTGGTCATCAGCTGTTGAAAATAACATATGGTATAGTATTCATTTATATTAAATTTCTATTGTATTCATTGCTATATTAAATAAGTTCATCAAATATGAGTTTTAGTTAAACACATTTGTAGCTGCCTGATAGAATTACATTAGGTAGTACAGTACACTAATTGTTAGAAGAGCTGTTCCACTTTTTTATCATTCTGTGTGAATGTTCACATTTTACACCCACCATATAAATTAATCTATAAAATTTACAAAAATTTTTTCATGTTTAAAAAGTTGCCTTACATGCCAATATATACAGTAAGAAAATTGGAGAGTGCACTATATTTCCCTAAAAGTTGAAAATTTTAGTGACGTTAAATATTGAAAATTCTATAGTTTTTGAAAATAGACAAATAATAATATTTTACTATTTCAAGTTTTGTAAAAAGATTTTTTTCTTAAATTTTTCTTTGTAAAATGAATTCTTTTAAGGAACAGTGTGCATGTGGAAATTTTGTTTGAAACATGGTAAGACTGCAACAGAATTGTACACAATGCTTAAAGAAGCATTTAGAGATAATGCAATGAGCTCATCCAAAGAATACACACCAAGTGAGGTGCAATCTTGAGCATGTTCATTGCTTTTTTCAATAGGGAGGGAATTATTCTTTGAGAATTTGTTCCATGAGATCAAACTGAAAGTCAAAATTTTTATATGGATGTTTTGAGGTGCCTGTGTGAAAATGTTAGACGAAAAAGACCAGATCTTTGGAAAACTCACACTGGTTGTTGCATCATGACAACAACTCACTCACACAGCTATCCCTATTCAACAATTTCTTGTCAAAAATAAAATGGCCATGGTTCTCCACCCTCCTTATTCACCAGACTTTGCACCATGTGATTTTTTTTATTTCCATGACTGAAATAAAGTGCTAAAAAAGGACAATGATTTGAGAACATTGATGACATTCAAACAGAATCACAGCAAGTGCTTAACAATGTCACAAAAATACATTCCAGGAATGTTTTTAAAACTGAATGCTACAGAAGAAGGAGTTTTTTTGAAGGCAACAACTCTCAATGAATTAACATGTACTTCAGACATTTTCATTGGACCAGTCCTAGAACTTTTTGACTGCACCTTGTAGTTAAAATAGAGTAATCATATTTAAATAAATCATTCTAAATACAATATGATGATAGCAGAAAATATAAAAACTTTGAAAAGAATCTAAATACAGTTGTACCTGGTATTTTCAATGACATTAACTTTGAATGCTTCAGAGTTTGAATGCTAAAANTGAATGATTAAGTTTATTTACTAAAATATTTAATTACATGCAAATACTTTTGACATTTCAAAAATTATAACCATCAGACAAATGGAGCATATATGTTACCGGCCAAACCCAATTTCAGACCAAACTAGTTTATCCTATGCATTTCAGGATATACTAGTTTAGCCTAGGATAATCTAGTTTGGCCTAAATACTTTAGGCTTAACTAGTTTGATCTAGGCTGAACTGATTTATATACTACAAATAGGTGCCAGTATAAAAAAAATAATAATTTTGTGTAATTCGAAATGCCACCACAGTGCATCCAGTGGTTAAAGTGTATCTAGGTAATCCCAATAGCGGTGCTTCAGTTAGGTTGGTTTGATTAGGTTAATTTAACTACATTTTTAGTAGACGTTTCCTTTTTTATCTTTTGTTCAAGAACTACTGTGAATCAATAACTAGTGACTTTAAACAATGGGCAGCCTGCCAGCAGCTTCCCTCTGGGAGGAGTCCGCTGGGAGCACGAACAATCCGAAATGCCACCTTTGGGGTTACCTAGGTACACTTTAACCCATCCTGTAAAAATAAATAAAAGATTAAATATTTTATATGTTACATTAAGAAACACAAACAAGTTCATTTTTAATTTTAGTTTGACTTTAAAAGTTATTTTTATTATTTCATTTGAATTTCTGAAAATATTTTCGAAAGTAATTACCTTTAAAAGTGCACGGCTTAATAAAAAAAATACAAACTGATAAGTACTGATTAGCTTATTTTTATTTTATAGTTTTGTACAAGTGTTGTGTCACTTCTAATCAATACCGGTTTTTTATAATTAAGTAGACTATGTTTGAATAAATATTACTCATCTAATTGATTGCCTTTTAATTTTATTTTAACCATTAATATACTTAAATCAGGCCTGGCCAACCCGTGGCCCGTCACATTAAATTGTGTGGCACGCTAAGCGATATTACATATTCAATATCTATTAAAACTTTCGTTTTCCATTTTGTGTATACCAAAACAATTAAATAAATGAAAATTTGCATGTGTCATTGTTATAATGCGCAAGTGCGAGTACAAACTCTTGGTATAACAATGAAATCTTATTCATTTTGCATTTGTTTTACTTTTTTAAAAGCATTTTGCCTAAATTGTGTCCCATTGTAATGTTACACTTGATCAAAGTGGCCTGCGAAACAATTTGGGTTGGCCAGGCCTGACTTAAATAATAATAATTCTAAATCAGTTCGGCCTAAGACAAACTAGTTAAGACTAAAGTATTTAGGTCAAACTAGATTGTCCTAGGCTAAACTAATATATCCTGACACGCGAAGGATAAATTAGTTTGGCCTGAAATTGGGTTTGGCTGGTAACATATACAATATTCAAATAATAATTTTTTTAAAAATATGCTAACAGATTCAAAGTACACAGTCTAAACCTTAGTGCACAGTTTTTGTGCATGGCTTGCAGGAATTTTTTTGCAGGAATTTGAACTGACTTGATAAAAATTCTTTAGTAAGTAATAGATATGTATTATATCAGGGATGAACAACCTTTTTTGAAGAAGGGCCAAATTAGGATTAAGTTAATTGACTGGGGGCCGGACCTCCAAGTGATTAATGCGTTGTCTGATGCAATTTGCGAGATTCTTTGTTGTATCATCATGTGGTTAAGACCGATTGTTTGAAAACACTGTCTTCTCAGGACACATCTCACTTGCGATGATAAGACACTTTTTTATCATATCGCCATCTGTGAAAGGTTTCCCATTCTTGGCTATTAAAGCAGATATTTTTAGGCTGGCTTCAACAGCCGCATTCAATTCTCCAGATTGTTTCTTGAACACATTTTGTTGGCTGATTAGTGATCGTCGTAATGATTCGATTTTCCGTTTGCGTTCCGTACCTTGTAGAAGGAAATCCTTGTGTTGGCTTTCATGATGTCGCTTCAGGTTGAATTCTTTTGGCACTGCTATTGTTCCATTGCACAAAAGGCAAATAATGCTGTTGTTCTGTTGCACAAAACAGTACTTGTTAGTCCACACTTCCACTTCTTGAAACTGATGATTCTCGCGATTGACCTTGCGTTTAATGCCCGGCGCCATACTGTTCACTCTGCAAAACAATGTCTCATTGTGCCGAAAATTCTGAGGCCCGCAACAAATCATGTTTGAGATAAGGCAAGCTAGACTACCACGTGCTTTGTTCTGTATCCACTCTGACCAAAGACTAAAGAGGCGGGGACAGAAGACTATTACGCACACGTGGCCAGGCAGGTCTTAATTCGTTCGACCCCTGTCCGGGCGTCTCCACCATTTCTCAGAATTTGTGAGTCAGATCGTCAACATGCCAGGTGCAGGACACTAATCCATCATAAATGTGGTTACCATTCTTACCTAAATTATATTTATGGCCCGTCAGTTTTACCCCCGTGTTCAGAAATGAATCAAAAGTGATTAACACAGTGCAGTGGAAAATCTGAATATTTTAAATATAATTATTAAAATTGCGATATCTCGTTTCAAATTGGCGCTAGAATCAATCTGTTTTTTTTTTTCTGTCCTAAATATATCACAGTTTACGACTGTTAAATTTCAAATAAAATAAAAATTAAAAATAATAATTTAATTTTAAATTTACGAAAAAAAGAATGTAAAAATAAAAGTAAATAAAAAGTTCCAATTAATTTACTACTTAAATAACCTAAATATATCTGTTTTCTTTCAAACAAAAGAAACCGCAGCTTTCTAGCTACACGGAATCATTTTACAACCCTCTTTGTTGACAAGTTTATGGCTTGACGCGGTTTGTAATAATTATTAAATCCAAAATATTTTAATGCAAATGGCTTCCTTTTAGTCGTAATGACTCTATTCCAACTACAGTATTAATTTTCTTGGTCCAACTTAATAATAATAAATTTGATGTGAAAAATTTTTTTTCTATTCTTTGTCTATGGAGAGATATTGTTGTAAATTATTGGTTTTATAGCTTTTTGTACATTCCTTTTTGAACTCTGGTTAGTTTTTTTCTAGTTTGAATGACATTAGGTTGACGAATAAGCGTCTTTTCAGAAAAGATTGATTCAAATTCGACTATACCAATCAGAATCTAGAATGTAAACAAATGCTAAAAAATCGTTATTTTCATGGTTTTTCAGCGCTATTTTCACTTATTTTTGTTATTTGACGCTATTTAGACGAATAGGCAAGTTTTCCGAAGCATAAAATTGAAGATTTCCCGCCAAAATAGAAACTTCCCGATAACATCGGAAATGACGTTCTAACATCATTTTAAAATATTCGATATCTAAAGCAGAAAGTGTTAGCTAAAAATAGACTTATTTATAGAACAATCCCCCATTTCTCACCTCAGGGAAAGTCATAAAACAGTTGGGTGCTAATGACTTTGTGAAAGGGAAAAAGTTCTACACTTAGAAACTTCGAAAGAAGGGATTTGGCCTGTACCGTCCGCGGGCCGCATAAACATTGATAGGGGGCCGTATGTGGCCCGCAGGCCGCAGGTTGTGCACCCCTGATTATATCAATGGTGTGGTTTTCTTTATATTTTTTAAAAAATTGATTTAAAAAAAAATTCTTTAGATTTAATTTAAGATAAATAGTAAGCATATATTCAATGAATATAAAATAAAATAAAACATATAATCATATTAGTTTAGGATGGTTACAAGTTATAATTTTAACATTTTGTAAAGCATTATCCATATCTCTGATAGTTCAAGAGTGGGTTTGTTACAGAGTTCTAACATTATTATGTATAGTGACTTCCATAGAAAGATAATTCTATAATCTAAATATCATTCTGGAAGGAAAGCTTCATCCCATAAACATGTAAAATTATTTTCTAATACATTCTTACTATTATAAATTTCATCTTTATGTTTTTGAAAATGGTTTGCTAATTTTCTGGTAATAGTCTGTAAATAAAAGGTTTTTGATCCCATTCACTCTTGATGTAATGGAATCATATAGATTCCTGATTTCTCTAAAAACTAAAAAGGCAAGACTATTCCTATCATTAAATTGTATTCTATGCAGAGATAGAATTATACTTTCCATCAAGCCTCAACTATCAAGTCTCAATGTATTTTTTGGTGCATGAAGAGCTCTGAGTGGTGACTACAGCAGTATTCAATGCAGGGTATTCATACACCAAATTTAAATGTTAACAACATGGTCTGCAAGTCTCTCTTCCCATCCATTGCCTTATGCATTAATGATAAAAAGAAAAATCTTTGCACACTCTTCCAGTCCATATTTAAGAGCCATAACTCTATCTATAGTTCGTGCTTTCAAGAAATATAAAGTTATACTTTCCGTCAAGCCTCAACTATCTATGCATAGAATACTATGTAATAATAGGAATAGTCTTGCCTTTTTAGAGAAATCAGGAATCTATATGATTCCATTACAACAAGCAAGGATCAAACACCTTTATGTAGGGACTAAGAATTGGACCTTCATGCTGTTAGCCTATTCGATTTCCACGGTTAAGCCATATGGGTTGTCATTAACCGATTCCACAAATGCCGTCACGTCCGGTACATTTTTCCATAGGATGATGATACGATCATCATCCTATGGAAAAATGTACCGGACGTGACGGCATTTGTGGAATCGGTTAATGACAACCCATATGGCTTAACCGTGGAAATCCATAGGGACTACTACAAGAAAATTAGCATACCATCAGGACAACAGCAATAATAGTAGGATCACTACCAACCTTGCTAAAAATGTATTAGAAAATAATTTTACATTTTTATGGACTGAAGTTCCCCCCTTATCAAGCAATGTTTTGACTGCAGAACCTTTTTTGAATCTTGAACTACCAGAACTATGGGTAACACTTTGCAAAATGTTAACATTACAACTTATATATTTACATTATTTTAGGATAACTACATTTTCTTTTTTACTTTATTTTGTATTCATTGAATACATGCTTCCTATTTGTCTTAAATTAAAACTAAAGAATTTTTGTCAAGTCTGTTTGAATTTCTGCAAAAACTACACACTAAGGTTTAGAATCTGTTAATGTATTTTTAAAAAATTTGTTATTCAAATATTGTATATGCTCCATTTGCCTGACAATGACATTTTGAAAATGTGAAAAATACTTGCTTGTAATTAAACATTTTCAAGTAAACAATCTTAACACTAAAAGACAGTGTAGTTTATTCTTATTCTAAGTTTGGCATCATTTGTGAGTCTATTTTATACACTGTAAAACCTTGAATGATTGAATTTTCACTGTATATGAAATCACATATAATTTTTAAAAAATGTTATTTTCATTGATTTTATACTAGCACATGGACAAAATAAATCTTAGTATGACAAATATGATAAAATAAATGAGTTTATTGTATAAAATAAATTAAACAAAGTTTTCAACTATTAAGAAGTTTTTATTTAAACAAATGCAATTTCTAAGAAAAAAAATAAATAAAAATTCATTTAGAAAATTATAAATTAATAAAAATTTTTTTATTACATTAATTAAAATTAAATTTTATTTTTGTATATTCTTTACTTTATTCTTTGAAAAATTTTATAAACTTATTCAAAACATATTCATTTATTACCATTTGCATGCAATCTTGTTCTTCATCTGTAGTTAAAAGTAATTGTTTAATTTCTTCCCATTTTTTAATCCTTGTTAAATCATATTTTTCTTCCATTGGTATAGCATGTCTTAAGGAACCATTTGTAATATTTATTCCTAGGATTTTATACTTGCATTGAATAATAAGCATCATAGCTCTTGTGCTAAAATTAATATAAATTGAATTAACAAATGAAAAAATAAATGTAAATATAATAATTATATTAATTAATATAATACAATAATTAAAAGAAAGTAATTGAATATTTTCATTTTTTCTAAAATACTTTTTCTTGAAAAATAAGGACATTTTATAAATACACTCATATTCTGATTAACACTCAGAATGCACACATTCCTGAAAATGAAATTCTAAGCAAATTAGTGCAAAATATCATTATAATACTTTTATAGTAGCTAGATTGAAAAAAGTTCTTTTTGGATATGATTGAAAATGCTTTTTGTCTTTACCAAGGTTGTCAAGTAGCTTAAAAGCATATGGCATTGCATTTATCATTCATCTAAATATTAAGCCATTTTTCTATTTATTCAAACAAATGGCTTCTTGAACAAGTTAATACTGGCTCTCACTTGTATGGAATTGTAAAAGAAAACATGCAGATGACCTTGACAGAACAGTTTTGATGTTCTGTTGATGAAAAGAGTGCAGCCACTTTGAGTTGATTTTGTCTCAATTTTTCTGTTGCAGTAAAAATTGGTGAGAGAGTATTTGACCAACCACATTACTTTTGATTGATAAGTTTCGTATATTAATAAAGCTATTAACATAATCTAAATATATAAAATTACTTGTCCTGACTGACTGAGTGAGTGAGTGAGTAAGTGATTGATTCATCATTGCCAACAGCAAACTGCTGAACCCAAAGAGGTGAAATTTTGTACACAGGGTACATCATGAAAACGCACACTAAGAAAGAATTTTTTGAAAATTCCCCGCGGGGGAGAGAAAGGATTAAGGCTTAACCTGAAGAACAGCTTCTACTGTACTATTTTAGATGCAATTTTTTGTTTTTAACTAAGTTTAGTCTTCACTGAGTTCTTAAGTGTATTAAATTGATAACATTTCAAATTGTTATAAATATTTTTATATATTTTGATTTTTTAACCAAATGTTTGAACCGTTTTAAAATGATCCAGAAAATTGAAAACTGTTTGTTTGATTCTCAGCAATTCTCATCAATCTCAGTGGTAGGTGTTATATAACAATTACTATAGTTGTTGAAATACTGAATATAAATGGGGTTTGCTTGCAAAACCCCCGTGGGCAAAGTCGCAGGTAACAGCTGGTCTAATATATAGCAAGCACTTTCTAAATATTAAAATCTATTTTCAGCAGTCATGACAACATACAAAGTCTTGCAGGAAAAGTTTACAAAACAAACTGTGTCAATGGGAATCATTAGATGGGTTTTCAACTGTTATATGCAGTGGTTTAAGCTGCTTTTTTTTTCTATAGTTTATCCATACATTATGTCTGCATTTTTCTTGAACTTTTTATTCCCCCTCCCCTCATCATTACAATTTGTCCAAGTTTCCGTAACCCACACTCTTCAGAAATCCAACAAAACTCAATCCCTCTCAAAATCTTTATCATTTTATGAATAATAAAATCCATAAACTGTATAAAATTTAACGAAATAAAACAGATGTGCACCGAAGTTCAACTTCTCCTCTCCCCCTTGTCTGACTCTGTCAGACTTGTCTTAATCCCCTCCCTGCCTTCCAGTGTGGATGTCATTTATAGACTGAGAATTATATGATAAGAACTAGAAGTAAGAAATTTAAGATCTAACTAAAAACCCAACACCTTATTAATCCAGCAATATTTAATAAGATAATAATAACGTTTTCGACTGTTTTAAACAGCCTTCATCAGTTAAACTATTTCAAACTAAAAGAATGCTAAAAATAGAATACAAGCTTTTAAAAACTCAAATTCCAACGTAAAACGCAGTTGTATAACAAAAACGTACAAAAATTGCACATACGATTCTTATCGGAATAAAAATAAAATAAAAATACACATAATCAAATTTTTTTGCCGCAATAATGTCTATTATAAGTTTACCATTTAGTTTGAAATAGTTTAACTGATGAAGGCTGTTTAAAACAGTCGAAAACGTTATTATTATCTTATTAAATATTGCTGGATTAATAAGGTGTTGGGTTTTTAGTTATACATTATCCAGTAAGTTCATTATTTGTTTATTTAAGATCTAAGTTGATGAAACCTTCCTCTTATCCACATTACTTTTCTGGCTATTATATATAACAGAAGACAATTAGTCAAAAAATGACTCCCTCAGATTTTTATATTTTTGGATTCTGGGAACCTTTAAACAGTGAGAAAGGCAAAAAAATTCAGGATTTTTTCCCTTATGTATGGATGTTGATGTATGTGGAGGGCACAATTTTGTTCACCCTCTTTTAAGCTTAATAACTCCTGTGCTTTTTGTTGAAAATTTCTGAAATTTTTCAAGAGGTTTGTTTATTAGGGGATTGATGCTATTAAATTTTGGTGATTAAACCCCAAGGGAATGTGGAGATAAAAGGGATCATGTGTATCTCCAGTAGGGTCTGACTTGATATCAATTTTACTCATTATTAGCATTTACAATATTTTATAAAACACATTCCTACTCTCAAAATTAAGATTTTTGCCATTTTATAATAGTTAAAAATATAAAAAGTTTTTAAAATAAAATATCGTAACAGATGGCACCACCAAATGTTGTCGGGAAAGTTAAGCAACTTGTTGCTGGATTTTTTTTAGAATTGCACTTATTGTAAATATTGTCAAATTGAAAGAAGCACTAATATTGACTTGATACTCACCAACTTCAAATCAATGTAATACTTGTAATTTCAAAGCCAGAGAAACACTTTACTTTTTGCATTTTTGTGCCAATATCACTTGTACACTTTCTTCTTAATGTAATAGGTAGAATGCACTAAAAATGCATCACAAAAGCTAACTAAATACAAGGACTCTAGATGAATTATCATGAATGACTGATTGAGCATATTAAATGAGTCATGTAACAGGTGAGATGAGTTGTCTTAGAGTGCAATAGCATACCTATGAACAATTTTCATTCCCTTTTCTTATCTTGTTTTCATATCTCAAAAAAATAAATAAAAATTGTATCTGAACTATACAGTTTAGAATCATAAAATCTGAATTAATAAAAATTTACTTTAGTGTTTCCCAAAGTATTACTTGCAATGTCCAACATAGGTCATAGTTTGAGTGGTTGAAAAAAGCTTTCAAAATTAAATTTTAAATTTTAAAAAATCCAGCAACAAGTTACTGAATTTTTTAAATTTAATTTTAAAACCGAGAAAAGTCTGCATGGCTAATCTGTTGATCATGCACAAACCCATAACCAACCACCATCTTCAGTACTTTTATCCACTTTTTTGTTTTCTTTCATTCAGTATCTTCAAATTGTGCAAAATATCCACTCAAAACCCATTTAATGTGGTATATATCTTTATTCTAATGTTTTCAATTTTGTTCAACAATCTTCTTCAGGGAAAAACAATGTATTTTTTTCCCCTGAAGAACTGTCCAAATTGAAAAACTGTCTGGGCCACAATTACAATTACCACTAATCTGAAGCCCTACCAGTAAAAGTTGGTTGACCTTAAAAATGCTAAATTGCCACCGTGAGACCTGGATGGAAAATTAAAAAAGCAATCAGGAGAGAGGACTAGTGGGAGGAGCCTCTTTCTTTCTTTCTGTTCACTCAGGTTCATATGGAGACTCTAGCCTGTTGGCTTTCTCTCCAAAGCACACCACCTTGCGGTTAAACAAAGTGATCTGTTCGATAAACAAATCGCTCCAAGGCCTCTACGTGCTGGCGAGGAGGGAGAGGGAGGAGCTTCATGGTACCAAAGAACAGGCAGATGTAAATCATCAACAGATGGATCTAGAAAACACTCACTGTACAGACAGATGTTTTTTGTGTACAACACCAAATTTTAAATGATTTCATTGAATGTATTTTTAATTGAATAAAATCAAATTCCAACAGGTTCCTACTGGTTAATTTTAATTTAGAATTTCTGGAAGAAAAGAATCAGCATGGAATGGTACTCAAATCTGCATGTGCATGGTAGACAGAAGTTGAAAAGCATCTACTGTGGACAGGATATTTCATGGATAAAAATTTCACAATATCAGATGCTGAACTGTCTGGAGAGTGAGCTCTGTTATTCTAATGTTTTTTACTTATAATGCAACCTTTTCTTTTTACTGGTAAGAAAACTAGGTTTTTAATTATGTATCTAAACATGTTTAAAATAAAAACTTACCTGAAAACTGATACTAGTATCATTATGAATATGCCTTCAAGTAAACCACTCTGAAAGAAAAAAAAAATTAAGAAGCTTAATTTTTTCAAGTTGTCTTCAAAATTTAATTTACCTGATTTAGATAAATTCAAAATAAACCAAATATAACATACATTATAGCTTTATCTAAGAGCAGGACATTTTTGAAGTTCTTGGTCCAATTTCAGTTGTTTTGAATATGGATAAAAATTTTTCAATTGAAAAATTGTAATCATTGAATTAAATTCAAGTTTGAATGAATTAAAATTAGAGATTCAAAACATAATTTGACTGATTATAATTAAATAACAGTTTGCAAACATTTAAATAATTGAAATTGGACCAATAAAACAAAACTATATGACTAATCATTAAAATTATCTGCTTGTTTTAATTTAGATCTAATATTTATAACAATCAAAATGACTGTTAAATTTTCTCTAGGTTGTTTTTTTTTTTATGTACTGTACTGTACATAGATCATAGAATAACCCAGAATATAATCTAGTACTGTATTATTTTTTATTTAAAAGAAACAATTAATGAAAAACTGATTATTTTATTACTGAATTCATAAAAAGACTTATTACATGGCTTTTATTACTTTATATCAAATTATTCAAAACTTGCGTGTCAATTTAAATTTTAATAAACAGATAAATTTTAATATTGATATAATGGTCTTATCATTCATTGGCTTTGGTTTGTATAAAAAGATATTGTACTATGCAGAATAAGTAATTTTCTAGTAAATATAATATACTGTTTAAACAGAGATTAAATATGAGTAAAAATAAAGTATATTTGAGATATGTAATGTTATATCAGTGCTAGAAAATAATTTTATCACTATGATAAAAACATTTGGAAAGTAAGAAAAAGGATAGTAACAAACAAAAATCCTTTATATCATGTCAGTTTCACCCTGTAATATTGTAAATGATCTGAAAGTTCTATTAGAAAATGTTGACAGTGAAATATAGATTTTAATTGAAAAAGTCAATATTTAACAACATTTACAATTTTCCAAATACTGAATGTTCAAAACCACAGTAAATATATCAAAAATGCAAGTGACAGACAATTTGAAAGCCACATGATAAATAACAACAACATGGCAGATAGTTTAAAATTATAAATAAGCTAATCTGATTTTAATATTTAATAATAAAAAGATTATAAAGAACAATAATAAACATCTTAATATATAACATTAAGGCACAAACTCAAATAAGATAGTTAATTCTTTCAAAAATCTAAATTTTATTAAATTATGCTCGTAAAGTTAACCAATTGTAATCATGAATCTATTTATCAGACTATTTTCAACATTAAAAGATGTTTATGACATGACATTTCATAAAAGATAAAAGGTTATCATAAACATATCAAAACTCATAAAGATAAAAAAATTGTTTCTATTTTAAGTTTCATAAAATTATATTGGATTTTCTTCAAAGTCAGAATATTTTTGAAACAATTTAGGTCATCTTCAGAATATGACAAATTACAAAATACTTTTTCCTTACAAATTTGTATTCTGAAGTTTTTAAAATTTATATAATGAATGCTTTTTCCTTTATATTAGAATGAAAATTTTAGAAAAGAATCATATGGAAGAAATAACAACTTAATTTTTTAAACATTTTTAATCTACATCCTTCATTATAAGGCTACATAAATGCTAATTATAAAATTAATTATTAAACAAACACTCATTAAGTTATATAACTCATATTAAATTTTTTCTCATTAAAAATATTTAATATACTATTAATCAAATCAAATTTAATATACTATTGATTACAGTTTAAAAATCAGATAATAATTTATTCAAAATCCGTAAGTTGAGATTTTAAAAGTTCTTCAAAATTCTTATTGTCAAAAATATATTTTGAAGTAATGAGTTTGAAGAAAATAAAAATTGTTGTTTATTTATTTGTTTTTATAATATATTAATTTTCTCCAAAGTTAGAAAAAAATTATAAAATTAAAGAAACATATTTCTGACATTTCATTTTGATCAAAACTTTTAAAGTTATTGAAGAAATAAAAATAAAAAAAAAATTAAAACTTAAGAATTCAAAAATGCTTTGAGTGAAAAAATAAAAACTACATTTATTTTATTTACTTGTATATTTTTGTTTTATTGAAGCAAAGTTTAAGGTTATAATTTTAACATTTTGAATCAGACATATCTTCAGAGGAAAACAAACAAAACTTTGAATTAGCCTAACGAAACAAGATACTGATAATGATCAACTTTGTTATGCTCTTTGAAAATATTTTGTTGTTTCTCTGTATGGGTAACTTTGATACTGTTTGGTATTTGCACATTTGCTTACCTGCTAATTGCCTTTACAATATTTCAATTGCAGTACAGTATTTGTAAAAAACATAGTTATATCAAAAACTGTAAAAATTGGAAATAAAGAAAAGTACAGTAAAAACTGCATTAGAAGAGCATAACAAAGTTGATCATTGTCAGTATCTTGTTTTGTTATTACATCATACTCCCATACAATAACAACAACCAACAACCCCATATAATAATATAAAAGATGGGAGAGCAAACAGATAGTGAGGGGCTTAAGAATGTGCAGAGAGAAGATAAAACATACTACATCAGACAGTTGCAGAACCCATAAATAAATAACATGACCGTTACAATAAAAACACAGACTAATACCTGTAATACAGTTAAAAGGAAACAATTTATTATAATAATAAACATTTTCAACTGTCTTTGATGATTGCTGTTAAAGATGTCAAAAACATTTATTCTTATAATAAACAGATTTAAAGACGGAATAATGGTTACAGAAAATTTGCATGACAGCAAAAAGGAAGATGCTAAAAAAAAAAAAAAATGTCAATGCCAGGAAACTGCCAATGGTAGCTTCTGCTCTTTCAAAAATATACAGTACTTTGATAACTTGTGCAAGGAGTTGCAAGAATCAAATGCCATTTCTGAATGCAGTCTCAAGTTTAAGCTTTAGAAACAGCCTGACTCCTGTATGCTAAAGCCTTGAAAAACAAAAAAATATATATAAATCAAGCAACATTAACTCTTTTTCCAAACTGTTATAACTTAGTCTTACATTTAAGGATAATTTTGGCAAACAATTTTATACTGTATAATTAAATGTATAAATAAAATAAATTTTAGTTGTTATTATTTGCTTATCGAAATTTGTTCATCTAATCTATTTGAATTTTTAAATTCAAAAAGATTAGATGAACAGATCTAATTGAAGAAGACTATCAAACAAAGAAAAAAGAAGAGCAGAGTGGATTTGGAACAGGAAGATCATGTGTGGACAATATTTTCTGTATAAAACAGATTATGGAGAAAAGATTAGCAACAGGACAGGAAACTCGTTTGTTGTTTATAGACTTAATGAAAGCATATGATAATGTCCCAAAATCAAAATTATGGGAGACATTAAAAGAGAACAATATTAATAACATGCTTATTAAAGCAGTTAAAGAATTATATAGTGAATCCATAACAAAAATAAAAATTAGAAAAAAATATCAGAAGGATTTATGGTATCAAAAGGACTAAAACAGGGATGTTGTATCTCACCAACTTTATTTAAAATCTATGTAGAAGGAGTGTTGAAAATATGGAAAAGGAAATGTTGTAATATGGAAATAGATATTAATGGTAAACCAATGTTTACATTGCAATTTGCAGATGATCAGGTGATAATGGCAGAGGATAAGGATGATCTATAACACATGACAAGAAAAATAAAAGAGGAATATTTTAAAGGAGGTTTATATATAAACATGAGTAAAACAAAATATTTATGCATAGGAGGGGCTAAAAGACATGTAACTGGAAGGAAAAAAGACTCAGGAATGTGAACATTACAATTATCTTGGAATACAAATTCACCAAGATGGAAGAGATACATTAGAAATTAATATAAGATTAGCACAAGGTAAGAGAGCAGTTAAAAGATTAAATGAAATATGGTGGAGGAATGAAGAAATAACTAGATCAAGAAAAAAAATATATATATATATTTATATAATGCTATTGTTAAAAGCATTCTGTTATATGGGGCAGAGGCATGGAGAATGACTGGGGAAGAGAAGAAAAAAGTAATACAGTTGAAATAGATGCATTGAGAAGATCGTGCAGAATCTCAAAAAGAGAAAGAATAACTAATGAGAGAATCAAAGACCTAATGGGATTTTTGGAGACAGATTGAAGGAGACAGTTTTGGAAGAAATAAAGAGGAAACAACTTATTTGGTTTGGACATGTGAAAAGAATGAGTGACGAGAGACTCCTGAAAACGTCAGTGGAATACAATCCACAAAAAAGGAAAAAGAGAGGAAGACCCAAACAAACTTGGTATGACAGAGTAAAGTTAGCATGTAATGAAAAAGGGATTAAAGGGGAATGATGTATGGATAGAGAGAGATGGAGTGTTCCTGGAGATTGGAAGGTGACGTCAGATGCCATAAACCAAATATAGATATATAGCTTATTTGCTTATTGTATTAAATATATCCAAATCAGAAATATGCTTCAACTCAGCCACATTAGTTGACATGCAGTAATTTGTGGGGGCTTGGGGGCCATTGAAAATTGAGTTCTGGGAGTTCTAGGTAGGATCCTGCCACCAGATGTGTATTATCAGACACACCCCTCCAATTTATACTCTAGAGAAGACAGATATGTAAGGTGCAAGGGTAAGAGTCACTCTGGTCCAGGAATGAGCATGTCAGGAGGGTGAATGCAAAATCAATTAAACAAACTTAGAAAGAAAAAGAAAAATTTATTACAAAAAATTGGTTATTCTTTAGTCCTTCTCCTCTCTTGTCTATTATGAATTATGTGTGTCCATGTGATACAGATAAAGTAACATCTGTCACCTAACACTATTGAAAAAGGAGGAAATAGCAGGTATCCCCTTTGTCTTTTCCTTCAAATGTTGAAAGATTTATAACAATTAATTGATAATTTTTTTATTCTGATTTGTTTCTCTTAATTATTTTTAATTGGTGTTGCTAAACATTTAAAAGTGGGTCCCTAAAATTGGAAGACTAGACAAAATTCCTTTACAATATTGCTTGATAACAAATAATACTGATATCTCATTCACACATCTTTCAGGTGAGGGTGTAAAGGGCATCTTGTCTGATAGCTAACAATTGTTTGATGAACAACCAGACAAAACAAAAAATGGATATAAAATAATATATAGTTTAAAATACAATAAAATTTCCAAATTATTATTTAAAGAGACTGCATTATTAGCTTAAAAATAAGTTGATTAAAATTAAAATTATAAAGATAATGTTCATAATAATTCAAGAATATGAATGAAAAAATATATGTATAATAACAAGCAAAATTTTGGGGAAATGATGAACCTCACAAATATCTAACTCAATTTTCCTACAGAACTTTCTATTTGATATTTGCAAGATTTCCAAAAACCCTAACCATTGTGAATATCAAGAGTTACCTATATATTATATTGAAGGTAAGTCTGAACATAGTGTTGAAACAGAATTTTATAAACTCATTGAAATTCATTTACTGGTTATCTTAAAAAATTTTAACTAAGCAAAATATATGTTTAAAAGTTCAGAAAAATAAAACATTACATAATTCTAGTTTTTCTTTTCATAAAACAAATACATTTAAGTTTAAATATATTTAAAATCTAACAAATATTGTGTTGACAAATTATTTACTATACAACAAAATATTCTACAATATTTAATTTTTTCAAATACTAATATTACAAAACACAGAAGTATTGTTTTGAAATAATGAGAAAAGATAAAATATATTGACAAAATGGTTAATAAAAAATGTACCTAAAAAAAGTAAAGATCTATTTAAGTTTCATTTTTAAAAATTATTTTTTTGATTACATTATTGTTAACAAAGTTGCAGAGAGTATAAATGCCATCCCCAACAACAGAATAAGAAAACCATTAAAAATAAAAAACTATTATTCTGTTCCAATATTTTAAATATTGAAACTAATATCTTAGATCAAATGAATGTAAAATGCATTAATTATATTTTTTAAGTTTTTGGGCTGCAATTTAAAAAACTTGTAGACCTATAAATTCCCATTCTCATCCGTGTGTAAGTCTGGTCTGTTTTTTCTTAATTAATCTCAAGAACAGAATTAGATAGATGAAATTCAAGACAAGAGAAGGAACCCTTAGGGGCAGCAGGCCCCAACTGACTATGTATGAACTTCTGGTTTGCACTAGAAGTCGCATTATTTCAATTCAAAAGTTTCCTCTGAATACAGTTAATAGATAATTGGCACAGCTATTGTTAAAGGAAAGTATGATGTACAGAGGCAAGATACTACTAATTTGAGGTGGAGAGCATATATTTTAAATAAAATTAAAAATACAAAAAATTACAGAAAATATCATATAACGGACAAGCTTATTAATGATAAGTGCATACAATTTAACATCAGATAATATAGTATATCAAGCTGCAAAAGTCATTCATTAGAAAATAATCATAAACTATATACTCTGTTCTAGACAAAACTTATTATATGCCAAGGCTGTGTACAAGGGATTTTGGGGATTTAACCCACATTTAGTAATAATTAAAAAATGAAATTAACTTGTATTTATTTTGTACCTGTTCAGTTCCTTCCTAGTCTTCTTTATTATCCTTTATTATCCTTATTATCTATAGACCTATATTATAAAAATTAATAAAGTACATTATAAAAAATATTTTTTTTTAAAGCCTATCCTTTTAAAAATACTGTGCATGGACTGCTACATGCTTCAGTATTTTATTCTAAAATCTATTTACAGTTATTTTCATAGACCTAATAAGCCAGATGTTTAGTGGCGTGCTGTCCATGGAAGCTGTGGAAGTGCCTCTTGTATTTTCTAAAATATAAATACATATTGTGCAATTATTTTTATATTTTAATGTACTTTGAATTAATTTAAATTAATATTTTATTATAACCACATTATGTATTTCGTTACAAATTTCTATACACATGAAAAACAATGATAAGATTGCTACTGTATACTCGAATATAAATTCGTATATGCATATTCCCAATGGAAGCACTGTATTGTTGAATATGAGACAGCTTCCACGACAAAAATATTTGAATTGTGTAAAGCAGCCAGATTACAGGCATTTGCACATGCGCTTTACAGAGCANTTTTTTTATTATGCAGTTGGAACACATGCTTTCAGACATAAGTAAGAAAGAAAGTAAACGTGATTTAGTACGAACATGACATGAAAAGTAATTGTATCAAAAACCAATGGCTTTACTTACTTAAAACACTTTTGAAATATATTTATATACCCTCTATATCAAATTTGCGAAGTCTTCATTTAATTATATAAATAATTAAATACTTTTTAAAACACAAAATTAAATTAATTTGGATTTATTTGCAAAACTATACGGTATATAATGATTTGAAGACTAACTTAACAGTTATATGAAGTATTTAATTTGTTTCATTCTTATATAACGTATATAAATAAAACACTGAATTGCTTGTAGAAGCCTGGATGATAAAAATATTCATTCAGGATAACTTTTTTGAAATTCAGCATTTTAATATTAAGTTAATTTAGAATTAAAATAGAAACGAAAATAGAACATAAACTAATTTGAGTGAATTGAACAACGCGTATCATTGTAATCGTTTTTATATCTTAACATAAATTAACAAACTTTTATCACAAATGTAACTTAAATATAATAATGCAAATAAAATCTTTTGTACAGTTAAAATACCTTCAGGTTTTTAGTTTCACTTTGACAAAATTAGCAGGTTTATTAGTTTTTGCAGTGTTTATTTTTGTTTAGCAGAAAATTTCATTTTCAATTACACATACCTATCCTATATCTTCAGCAACATGCATAAAAAAAATTTATATAAAACAAATCTTGGAATATTGGAAATTTTGGTTAGACAAAGTGGAACTGCCCAGTTTCATAACTGGTAATATAAAACTGGATATAATAAAACTGCTTCTTAAGACTTATCTAAGGACAGAAACAATAAGTGTGAAAATTACTTATTGTTATTAAATATTCTTTACAGTATTTAATATTAATAAAACTGAAATTCAAAAATTCAAGGCATCAATACTTTTTTAATGTATTTTTTTACATTTATTTTTAAAATGTATTCTCTTCATGTGATGAAAATGGATAAATCAAATTATTTTATAACTATTTTAAGATTTTAATAAGGAACACAAGATCTTATTAATAATTTAAGAAATATAATTTGATTAGCGCAAAAAATTAAAATTATATTGAAATTAACAGTTGTTAATACAAGCTTATGTAAGTAGAGAGATGAGTCAATAGAAATGCACTATTTACTACATACCTGTATTTCTAAAGTGCATTCTTATTGACTCAAACAATGTATTTACAATAAACATTTTGTGTTGATATTTTATGAAGTGTAAATATGCTGTATTTTACAACAGATTGTGTATAGATCTATATAAAAATAGCTGTCAATTTATAAAGATCAATGAAAATAATTTACTTCATTAACAATCTGTTAGAGAATTGTTTTATTTATAAACATATTTATATAAAATAAATACTAAATATATTTTAATCATCAACAAATAAAAAATTATAATTAATTTAAAGAAAAAAAACAATTATATATGTAAATTTCAATAAATATCACATTGTTAACTCACTTCTTTGAATGCATAAGGTAATCCTAATATTCCCGCTCCTATAAATGATATAAATATGTTGACAATGATCTTGAGCGGACTTTTAGTCCCATTATCCATGGTCGTCGTTCCAGCCATCTTTTGGAGAAGTTATTCGATGTTTTTACATTTTAACACTAGCCTAAGCGCTAGTTTTAAACCAGCTGTTACATACTTAGCATCATGCATGGGATAAAGTTTTTATGACGTTCGTTTTACATTAACCAATTAGCTCTCGTCACTCTCTAACCCAAAAACGTTCAATTTCACCTTATGAGATACACGTGACTCGCAGGAATAGATCGGGAAGTGTTTGTTTCGTCTAGATACTAAGAATATTTATGTATATTTTAATGTAAAACATGTACATTATATTGTCGGTTACGTTAGCTTTAAAGTTTAATTTATTATTTTCGTTATGTTGAACTCGAAACTTTTCGTGTAAAGTTTTTTTATGAGTGTATAGAATATTGAAATAGTTTTTTACATTAGTGCAACTTTAATCATGGCAAAGTTAATGAACATATTAAAAACGTTAAGAAATCATTGGAAGAAAAGTATTTTTGCCTGCGGATTAATGACGTATGGCTCGTTTTATTTGCGTGATCGATATAGGTAATTTTACGATGATGGTAAACAATCCATTTTATAATTCATATAAAACAGAAATGGTAATAAAACAATTTTCTTTGACATTTTTACAGGATCGAAAAAATGATGAGAGCTTATTGTGAAGAGGCAAAGGTATTAAAATTACAGCAATCATTAAAATTCAATTGAAAAGGAGGAATTATCTGAAGAATATTTATAATAATTTTTAGTAAAGTACTTGTCTACAGAAAATTATAATATATACAGAATAATGAATTATTAATATTTACTAAACAAGTTTTCAGATTTTTAATGAAATTCTATTTTAGCTAGGCTGACTAATTTCTTGATGCCAAAATGGGACAGTAAGCTGTAGCTGATAAATACAGGCCCTAGCTTATTAAGTAAACACATTACAATACAGTAATTTTCATACAACCAATAATCAATTATATATTATGCTTAATGTTATGAATTAAAATATTTAGAAAATTGGTAAGCTAATTAATTTGGGTGAATGCTGAAGTTAGTATATATCTATAAAAAAATAAATAAAATAATTACAATATGGAAATTATCCTGTCATCCATATAAACAATGTTATCACAATTTTAAGGTTTTGGTTGTTTTTAGTTAGTTTGTTTCTTAAATTATAACAATTTCTGATCATAAAAAAATTTGTTATAATTTTGAACCAACCAAAAGATGTGGTAATATTAAACAATTTTTTCCTTCTTCTTGTATGGAGAAAAACAAACAAATATACTTCTTAAGAATACTTTTGCCCAATATAAACAGTTTCTTCAGTTACAACTTCAGAAGTATAATTGTTTGTGTTTCTCCAGACAAGAAGAAATAAAATTTGATTAACATTACAACTTTTGGTTCATGATTATTACAATGTGCAGGTTCCAGCTGTGTTGTAATTTAAACAAACCAACAAAAATGCAAATAAATAATTATTGCATTAACTCCATAATTTTCTTCTAAAAAAGAAAAATTTTGGAATGTCTGGAAACAAGTTTTTATTGCAACAAAAGAATAATTGTTCCAATTATTAACAAAAAAAAAATGCTTAATCATTTTAATAATTATAAATGCCTCAATTTCAGTTTAATATTTTCAAAATTTTGAAAAAAAAATAAAAAATTTTTTGAATCTATAACTCAGCTAAATTTANAGTTAATTCTTTCAAAAATCTAAATTTTATTAAATTATTAAAATCTTGAAATTCAAGATTTGTTTCATGCATTTCATTAAATATTTTGACTCATCTGTCAGATATGTTGCTGTTTTTCTTTGTTCCATGTCTCCAAGTATTTTGGTTATTATTGTCTTTATTAGTGCCCATTTACCAAATTGTTGAATTTTATATTTCTTTCATATATTCTTTTCATGTTTGAATAATATGTTCGTTAAGTTCAATGAAACTATTCTGTAAGCTATATTTTTGTCATTTCTTTCTCATTGTATCTATCCAAATTTATAACCCTTATCAATGCAGAATAAACATTTTTAACAAATCAACAGTTCAGAATAAATATACCAGTACAACTGTGTTTATTAAACAAACTAGAAAGCTAGTTTTTTGATTTTTAAAAAACAGGATAACAGTGAAAATTTTACTAAAATGACAGGATGGTCAGAACAAAGCAAAAAAATCCATTAATGAGTTGCTTAACTTTCTGTGCAACCAGTGGCGTACCGTGGGTGTCAGCCGCCCGGGGCGGAGGAAAATTTCGCCCCTCCCCTTATTTAGGTATTTCAATTTAAAACACCAAAATTTGGTTTTATCAGAGAACAAGCAATGAAAAATTCGGTGGTAGTGCAGCGACCTTTTTAAAATAGTTCTATTGGATATTAGTGGTGTATATGAACGCAAATGAATGGTACAAGCAAAAAAAAGTCAACAGGTTTCGCAGGAATTCCTCGGATGAAAAAGTTACTAGTTCACCCGGCGAGCCGATTCTCGGACTGTTCGGACGATAGCACTATCGTAGGTGCGATGCAAGTATAGATTAGGATGTTTCAAATTTTTACAAGATATTATTGTTATTTATTGTAAAATTTTGCCGCCCCCTAAAAAGTGCCGCCCGGGGCGGGCCGCCCCTGCCGCCCCCACTACGGTACGCCACTGTGTGCAACATTTAAAATTTTGGTGGTGCCATCTGTTATATTTTATTTTTAAAAACTTTTTATATTTTTAATTATTATAAAATGGCAAAAAGCTTAATTTTGAGGGTAGGGATGTGTTTTATAAAAAAATTGTAAATGTTAATAACAAGTAAAATCATTAAGTGTGATTCTACTCAAGATAGGATTTACAACCCCTTTATCTCTCCCACCCGTTGATCTTCAACCATCAATTCAATAGCATCAATCCCCTAATACATACACCTCCCTGCAGAATTTCAGAAACTTTCAACAAAATTACATGAGTTATTAAGTTTCAAAGAGGGTAAACAAATTCATACTCCCCCACACATTCTCTTACAACCATAGATACAGAAAAACCACTGAAGTTTTTTGCATTTCTCAATGTTTCAAGGTCCCAAGTCTAGAAACATAAAAATCTAGGAGGTCATTTTTTAACTAATTCCCATACTTTTTCACTGTTATATATAATACAGTCATGAAAGTAAAAGCACTCCATTCAAAATCATATGTATTGTCAGCCTAATTTTAGCAAATATATTATATTGGTTAAACATATTTTTGAGATTACAGGGAATTTTTTTATAATCAGAATTAGCATAACTGTCTTTCATATTTTTATGTTAATGTTTTTGTATTTGAATTATAAAAGTTTATGAATGTAAAAATAAATTTTATTTTAGCATACAATAAATAAACTTCAATTCTTTCTTGATAAAACATAAAATTTTGCTTTCTTGGAATATAATATGTTAGAAAATAACCACTGCTTTTCTAACACACAAAGCCTATCATCAGGAGAAAACTCTGTCAGAATTTCTCTATAAAGTCATTAGAAGCTATTTGCTTACAACATCAAGCCAAACTAAAATTAAGACATGACATTTTTGACAAGCTATCTATCTATGCATCCTATTGAGAAACTGTTTAACTTCCCATTCTGTAATATATTGTCACATTTTAAGTTTTTATAAAGATGGTATTGTTCAAACATCTAATAGTACAATTAAATAAAAAATAAAATAATAGTAGAGAAGAATAAAAAATCATTCTTTTGAAAGAGTTCTTTCAGACTTTTCTCCTGAAAATGGGCTTTATTGTCCAAAAGTGTTGAGAAATAGTAGTTGCTTTTCAACTTGTATATGTTAGAGTTTTATCATTAGCTTTAATTTTGATCTGTTAAACATAATTTGTCCTTTCACAGTGCTTAATAAGATGAAAATATACAGTACATACCAGCACATTTTCAGAAAACAAAACTTTACATTTGAGAACCTTGAGTCCAGTAATAACATATTATTGGAAAACTAACGTTTTCGATTGTACCCTGGTCTTCCTCATGTTTTTAAAACCAGTAAGATTTGAACTTGGAATGCAAAGAATAAGATTTACAAATTATTTTTTAAAAAAACCTATAGAATGTATGGAACATGTTCAAAAAGTCCAGGGTATGGTCGAAAACATTAGTTTTCCATTAATGTGTTATTACTGGACTCTTAAGGTTCTCGAATGTGAAGTATACATTCAAGTAATCCTGTAAGAAGTTGTTTTAAACAAAACTTTATTAATTTATCTTACACACATCATAAAGCAGTTGCAAACTTCACAGACTGCACCAAGAAAAAGGGTTTTTTCTTTTTAAACACGAGCTAAATCTTGCACTTCTCTCACAAGTATTTATAATTGAGGAGTTGCTGAACAAGGTCTAACAGTATACTCTAATAAAACAGAACTTTAATTTTTTTAATAAATTAACTAAACCTGAAAATTTTTGTCTTTTAATAAAAATTATAACTGTACCTACAATTTACTACCATATAAACTAGTTATTGTCTGCTGGCATTAACAAAATTTATGGCCTAAAGCTTATTTACATAAAAATTCAAAATTTTTTTATATTTTTAATTATTATAAAATGGCAAAAAGCTTAATTTTGAGGGTAGGGATGTGTTTTATAAAAAAATTGTAAATGTTAATAACAAGTAAAATCATTAAGTGTGATTCTACTCAAGATAGGATTTACAACCCCTTTATCTCTCCCACCCGTTGATCTTCAACCATCAATTCAATAGCATCAATCCCCTAATACATACACCTCCCTGCAGAATTTCAGAAACTTTCAACAAAATTACATGAGTTATTAAGTTTCAAAGAGGGTAAACAAATTCATACTCCCCCACACATTCTCTTACAACCATAGATACAGAAAAACCACTGAAGTTTTTTGCATTTCTCAATGTTTCAAGGTCCCAAGTCTAGAAACATAAAAATCTAGGAGGTCATTTTTTAACTAATTCCCATACTTTTTCACTGTTATATATAATACAGTCATGAAAGTAAAAGCACTCCATTCAAAATCATATGTATTGTCAGCCTAATTTTAGCAAATATATTATATTGGTTAAACATATTTTTGAGATTACAGGGAATTTTTTTATAATCAGAATTAGCATAACTGTCTTTCATATTTTTATGTTAATGTTTTTGTATTTGAATTATAAAAGTTTATGAATGTAAAAATAAATTTTATTTTAGCATACAATAAATAAACTTCAATTCTTTCTTGATAAAACATAAAATTTTGCTTTCTTGGAATATAATATGTTAGAAAATAACCACTGCTTTTCTAACACACAAAGCCTATCATCAGGAGAAAACTCTGTCAGAATTTCTCTATAAAGTCATTAGAAGCTATTTGCTTACAACATCAAGCCAAACTAAAATTAAGACATGACATTTTTGACAAGCTATCTATCTATGCATCCTATTGAGAAACTGTTTAACTTCCCATTCTGTAATATATTGTCACATTTTAAGTTTTTATAAAGATGGTATTGTTCAAACATCTAATAGTACAATTAAATAAAAAATAAAATAATAGTAGAGAAGAATAAAAAATCATTCTTTTGAAAGAGTTCTTTCAGACTTTTCTCCTGAAAATGGGCTTTATTGTCCAAAAGTGTTGAGAAATAGTAGTTGCTTTTCAACTTGTATATGTTAGAGTTTTATCATTAGCTTTAATTTTGATCTGTTAAACATAATTTGTCCTTTCACAGTGCTTAATAAGATGAAAATATACAGTACATACCAGCACATTTTCAGAAAACAAAACTTTACATTTGAGAACCTTGAGTCCAGTAATAACATATTATTGGAAAACTAACGTTTTCGATTGTACCCTGGTCTTCCTCATGTTTTTAAAACCAGTAAGATTTGAACTTGGAATGCAAAGAATAAGATTTACAAATTATTTTTTAAAAAAACCTATAGAATGTATGGAACATGTTCAAAAAGTCCAGGGTATGGTCGAAAACATTAGTTTTCCATTAATGTGTTATTACTGGACTCTTAAGGTTCTCGAATGTGAAGTATACATTCAAGTAATCCTGTAAGAAGTTGTTTTAAACAAAACTTTATTAATTTATCTTACACACATCATAAAGCAGTTGCAAACTTCACAGACTGCACCAAGAAAAAGGGTTTTTTCTTTTTAAACACGAGCTAAATCTTGCACTTCTCTCACAAGTATTTATAATTGAGGAGTTGCTGAACAAGGTCTAACAGTATACTCTAATAAAACAGAACTTTAATTTTTTTAATAAATTAACTAAACCTGAAAATTTTTGTCTTTTAATAAAAATTATAACTGTACCTACAATTTACTACCATATAAACTAGTTATTGTCTGCTGGCATTAACAAAATTTATGGCCTAAAGCTTATTTACATAAAAATTCAAAATTTTTTTATATTTATTTCCATCTTTTAATAATTTTGTTTAACTGTTTGTTGAGCAGATATTTTGCAACTATGGAACAAAATTTGGAACCATGAGCATGAAAAAAATCTTAGCTATCAAATAATTATGATGCTCTTATGTGTATGAGAAGTTAAACTTTTTTATAAAAAATTTTTGACTCAAAATCCCAGCTTGTAGCCAGAAAAAGTGGCATAAATATTTCATTGCACATATATCAATATATAGATATAATTTCCCAACTATCACAAGAAAAATTCAACATGCTGGATCTGAGAATCATAAGGGACCAGCTGCTTTCTGTTGAACGTATGATGTAAAGCAGTGTTTAATTAGTGATTGCACAATTGATGGTCAAATCTACAATGATCATATAAATTTAATATAAGCATAAAAATAGAAATTTAATTTCCTTCTAAGGTAGTATCAGAATTTGTGATAAAAACAATGTCTGCTAAGCTCCAAGATATGTTGGTGTGTCTGTGACCCAGAATTATGTTCAAATAGAAAGTCCCAAAATCATCCAATTTACCAACACCTCAATTGTATCTAAGTTACATATGCATAAGGCACCATCTAAATTATGCATCTTTGCTTTTGCCAAAATTCATAAACCAGGCAACCAACTACATCCAGCAGTGGACAAATATGTATCTTTCTCTATAAAAATTGATATAATATTCAACCACTTCATCAACATCTTCATTACTGACTACAATCACACAGTAACCAACTCAAGAATTATTTAGCCAACATCTTAGTCAATGAGGAATTCATCATCGATCGTTTTTGATTTTGAATAATGCTAAAAGTTTTCTTATTATATTTATAGAACATTGTTCAATAAAAAAAACACATTGAAAATTCATTGTTCAAAATTTTCAGTTATATTAATTTAAGGTAACTTTTTTATGTGATTTCCTTAGTGCATTCTTTATACTACAATATAGCGGAATTAATTAATCCCTATGGTATATGAGATATAACAGATACACCACCATTAGCAGTGGGCAAAAGTTTATATATCATGATTTTGTTATTAGATTATTATCTGGCATACTAAAACCTGAAGATGACTTGTTAACTAGTTCAAAAATGTTAGTGATATACAAACTTTTCCCACTGTTAGAGAAGTTATGTCTGTTTTTCAGAATTTTATGTTTTTAGTAAATAGTTTATAAAAATTTTATTTTAAATTACAATTTTAAGATTTAATCAATCTTTCTAATATATGATTCTTTCATTATTTTTCATTTTTTCAGAATTATGGTGATATGCCACTTCCAGTTAATGGAAAACCAAGACATATTACAGTTATTCTTAATCCAGTAGCTAAAAATGGGTAAATTTATTGAAGATTTGATTTATACATTTTCCTTTAATTCAAATTTAATATGGTTTTAACAATAATAATTTTATCTATAATTTATGTATAAATTTTATTTTTAAGATGAATACTTTTCAATATCAATAAGATTTATTTGAAAAAATTTATTTACAATTACACTTTGACTTTATCAAAATATTCAAGATAAATATAAAAATAACACAAAGATATTACTCCTTGCAGTATTATATTTTTTTGAATAGTTTATTGTTGAAAATGAACAAAATTCAAAAAATATTTTGAGAAAAGTATAAATTATAAAAACATTATATTTGCCTTTATTTGACAAGTTTTGTTATTAAAATGTTCTGGTATTATTTGTAACTGTTTCAAATAACTATTATCAAATTTTAATTTTAAATAGTGATTACAAAAAGTATAAAATTAAAAAACAAATTAATAAGATACAGAGATTTGAGAGATTATTATAAAATTGGATTGAACATTTATCTAATTTATCAAGAAATTTAAATATTCAAATTTTACTAATAAATTATGTGTATGTTCAACAATATAAAATTCTTTTTCGTTTTAATTTTTCTGTACCAAAATTGGAAATTATTTATTTCTGATCAATAAATCTTTTACATTCTATCAGATGTATTTTTATTACGTTTGATTTAGTTTTTACATATTTAAGAATATTTTCTGTTCTATGCAACTGGATTTCATATTCTTTAAAAGTTGTGCAGTTGATTGAGTATTTCTGTTTTCAACTGATGTTTGTTTATAACAGTAATTATGAGTCAATACATAACTTTAACTATGACATCACATGACTTGTCGTATTGTGATAGAATTGAGGCAGAACCAGAAAGAAGCAATCCCTGCACTTGTTAGGCACTGAAGACGATCCTTGTACCTAACATGCAGACAGGTGAACTGTGCACTTGCTGCCACAAAAGAGATGATCCTTGTACTGGCCAGGTACAGAGAGATAATCCTTGCATTTGCTGACAAGAAGAGACGATCCAAACACAAAGCAATCACCATTGATTGCTTTGCTGTTGTGTTTTATTTGTTTTTTCGCATATGCAATGCTGTTTTTATTTTTGACTCCTAAGCCTAAATTCTATTAGGGCTGCTCATTTGCATCACAGAGCATGGACATTGTCACTTTAATCCTTTGTATATCAAAGACAAAATCATAGACTTCTATTTATTTACATTTAAATGGACCCTCATTACTTTCTTGGATTCTTTGTCTCATTTAATAGAAAATGGTAAAGTTTTATTAAAACTGGACCATTAAATTTAGAATGAACTCAATTCTGATTCTATAAGCCATAGAAGATGTGCTAGTGACTGTGAAGCATCACTTGATATCACTTTGCCACATGCACTTGTGAAATGACCTTATATCTCAAAAACAAAGTCATAGACTCCCATTTTTTATTACATTTTTGGATTCCTCATTGCAATTAATGGAGAATGGCAAAGTTCTGTCGAAATTGATCAAACAGATGTTGAGAACAAAAACAGTTCTATAAGCCACATAGAATAGGCTTTGCTAACACTCTGCCTCAGCAAAAATGAGCAATTATTTATTGTGACATCATCACAATGCCAAGCTGCAATTTTTAATCATATCTTTAATGTATTTAATTTAAAATATATGCTCTTCATCTCAAATTAATAGTAGTGGCTTGTCTCTGTACGTCATACTTTTTCTTTAATAATAGTCATGCAGGTAAAATTTTTGAATTGAAATAATGTGACTTCCAGTTTGCATTGGAAGTTTGTATATAGTTAATCGGGGACTCCTGCCCTTAAGGTTTCCATATCTGATCTTGTCTTTCATCTGTCTAACTCCATTCTTGATATTAAGGAAAGACGGGCAGACAGACGGACAACATTGGAAATTTATAAGTCTGAAGTTTTGTCAAATTGCAGCCCAGCCATTTAACCCTCTATAAGCTTTTGAGTCATCTTAATCAGTTGTCAAATGCAGAAAATTTAAATGTAGATGGCTTTTTTGTTAAAATTAAAATTTGTTTTTGTTTTTTTAATTTAGTGTCTCAAAAATGCTTGAAAAATTTGCAACTGAAATTCAACCAAGCACTGTCTTAGCACTATGTTGAGGCACTAGTGGCTAGGGCAAGTTCTTTATCAGCATCAGCCATACCATTTCAGTTGCTATCCTGACATGAAATAGGAAACATTGTGCATTTGTTATTGAAATCTTTTCAAAAAATGGTGACTCTGACATTGCAATACAGCAATTATTTTGTATACATTTTAGGCCATGTCAAAATAAAAAGTTTCTTAATAGGAAAACCATGTTGTTGTGCTGCAATTTGAAAAAATTGTAGACTTATAAATTCCTATTGTTGTCCGTCTGTCTATCCATCTTTCCATAATATCAAGAACGGAGTTAGACAGATGAAAGACAAGATCAGATATGGAAACTTTAGGAGCAAAGTGATATCAAGTGATGCTTCACAGTTGCTAGTACATCTTCTATGGGCTAATAGAATCAGAATTGAGTTCATTCTCAAAATTTAACTATATATGATTTTCTAATGCAAACTGAAAGTCATGTTATTTCAATTCAGAAATTTTCCCTGAAAGTTGTTAGCTATATGACTGACATGACTCTATTGTTAAAGGAAAAGTATGATGTACAGGGGCAAGCCACTACTAATTTGAGGTGGAGAGCATATATTTTAAGTTAAATATATTAAAAATATGATTGTCACGATGCTGGGCTGCAGTTTTTAATGTCACAATAAATAATTGCTCATTACAGGTTCAAAATTTCAGAGTCATGGGTTTAACTTTAAAAGATCTTAGAGAGGTTGAGGCACACATTTTAAACGTGTACGTGTGACGTTCGGCGCCGCTTTCCCGTAAGCCTAAAAGTTTGACGATGGTGTTTGGAATGTCGAGCGTGATTCCACCGACTATCCAAACATCATTGTCAAACTTTTAGGCTTACGGGAAAGTGGCGCCGAACGTCACACGTACACGTTTACACGTTTAAAACGTGTGCCTCAACCTCTCTCTTATTTGTAGACCTTGTAGTGTTCAAACATCACAGAATATCAAAGTAGTGATGCTGGCCATTACAAATTCGCTACAACATTTAGCCACTAAGCTTGCTCTCACTATGATCAGGTTGTTAGGATCAGGTTGTTAGGAGAATTTTACATGAAAGCCTTAATCTCTATCCATACAAAAAGATAGTTGCAGAGGAACTTATTGAACATTCAAGAGCCAACCAACAAGTTTCTTGCATAGCCATTCTTGAAAATATCCCAATAAATTGACATCTATTGTGCTAAATTTGTCGAGCTACATTAATAAGCAAAATTTTCAGTATTGAGCAGGAAACAATCCTTAACTGTTTCATGAGCAATCTTTCCACAGAAAATGTGTTACTACTTGGTGCATTGTTGCAGATTTTAGAGTAATAGGCTCATATATTTTTGAGGAGAATGGACAATGATGGTAACTTGTAATTGCTATGTAAAGATGTTATTAAAGATGTTGATGAACTAAAAAGCCATATTTCCAAGCTCCTGGAGTTTCAGCTCCAGGAGCTTGGAAATATGGCTTTTTAGTTCTAAGTTCTGTAGTGGGCATGCTTACTATATTTTGCTATTTGTAATTTCTTCCTCTAGGAACACCTAAAGGCTAAAGTCTTAGAATATAAGCTGTAGATAACTGACCAACTCAAAGATATATCTGACATGCAATTGCAGCATACAGGAAATGACTAGGTAAGTGATGTGGAACTTTAGGATGAGACTTTAGAAGCATGTAAGATATGACAGCAAGCATTTGGATCATATTACCCAAATTCTTTCTGTCACATCTTATATACTTCTGAAATTTTATCCTAAAGTTTCACATCACTTACTTAGTATTAATTTAAATTATAATTTTTAAAATGAAGGGATGAAACAAAATAGTAAAATTGCTCTTTCTGATTGTATAATGAAAGTTTAAATAGTATATATGATGGCTTTTTCATTCACCTTTCAAAACCAGGTTATTCTGCTGGACCCTGTATTTAAATTATTTTAATATTTCTAATATTTAGAGATTGTTTGTATTGATAAAATAAAGATGATATAAACTTTTTACAAAACAGTAGAAATATAAATCAGTTTAGCATTTTATGCCAAAAACTTCCTTTTAAAAAACTGTAATTAGTTTATTAATATTATTGTTTTATATTTAAAGATTTCAGTTCTTGAAACTAATTCACATAATGTACTAATTTAAATAAAGTGCATAATGCATAAATTTAAAGTAAACTTATAAAATTACTAGCCAAAGCACTTGAGAACTGTAATGTACCAGTACAATGCACTTAGATATATCTGTGATAAGACAGGAATTCTTGTTGGATAATTATAACACTATACATGAATCATTTCCAATAGTAGTTTTAAAAATAGATATACAGGGTGTCCATAAAGTCTCTTTACAACTTAAAAAATTTATTGCAAAGGCAATTGATAAGATATCTTAATCAGATTTGTTCTATTGCACTTAATTGTTTTCAAAGTTTTAATCACATTACATTTGTAAATTTTTGGTCCATTTTACTTCCACGAGAGAGCAATTAATGCAGATGTCTATCTTGACCTTTTGACTGAATATGTGACCCCACAACTGCAGATCTTCAACTGACCATCATTTTCCAGCAGGATGGTGCCCCACCACATGGGGACTGCATATTTGTGACTTCCTTAATCAAACATTTCCAGACTGTTGGATTAGAAGGGATGGACCAATCTGTGGCCACCACATTTACCAGATATCATACCTCTGGATTTCTTTCTATGGGGTTATGTTAAAGATATCATGTATCAAACAAAGATACAGGACATTGTTGAACTGAAGCAAAAGAACAGATGCAATAACAACTGTTGGTGAGGCTATGCTACAGTGAACATGGCAAGAAATCGAATACCATCTTGATGTGCTTCCTGTGACTAATGGTGCCCGTGCAGAGGTGTATTAAATGAGGTGGAAAAACTTTGAAAACAACTGAGTTCAATAGAACAAATCTGATTAAGATATCTTATCAATTGCCTTTGCAATAAATTTTTTAAGTTGCAAAGAGACTTTAAAGACACCCTATATATATATATAGAGTATCCATAAACTCTCTTTACAACATATATTATCAGGTAAGTCCAGCATTGCCTGGGAAAAAAATAAGTACATAAAGATTATTAGATTATTTCGTACTTCTAACCCTTTATTATATTATATTATAGTATTTGATTTATATGAGTACAAAGGTTATCTTACATAAGGGTTATCACACTAAGAGACCAATCTAACACATTTTAAAAATTCTTTAAATTGTGTATAGTAGAGGAATAAAAAATTTTTAAACTGTGTTAGAGTGGTCACTTGGTGTGGCAAACCCCTATGTAAGATAACCTTTGTAGTTATACAGGGTGCATAGGAAAGTCCCTTTAACCGGAAAATTCTTGTGAATGGATAGAGCTACAGCTATGCAAGTGAGGTAACAGTATAGTAAAGCGACTACGCCTGACCTAATGCAAACAACAGCAGTGCTCTTAGTGGCGAAATTTGGAAGATAGGCAGTGCAAATCGAAAATGAAAACAGATANTTACTCTTTCATTAAATGAAAAATTAGCAGTGCTACAAAGACTAGACAAAGGGGAAGATTGTTTATTTTACTCTTTTCTGATAATCCGACCTTTTTTTGCATTCCGACCATACCCCCAGTCCCAAAGGTGACGGATTAGAGGGGTTCTACTGTATATAAAAATGAATGTATATCTGTCTGTCTTTCATGCATTACTACACCATTTATCTGATTGCCATGAAACTTTGGGAAGTTGTTTAGTACACTCCCGCAAAGGTTTCTGGCATAGTACATTTATGCTATGATAAGTGGCGCGCATGTATACAAGCATTTCATATATAAAGTTGACATGAAGAGCGCATGTGCATAAGTTTGCTTTATTCGAACTCTTTATCTTAATGTTCAATTTTATGTTTGAATTTATATTTATGACTGATTCTGGAAGATCCAGCTTATTTTTCGAATTTAGTAAACCTGAAGAAGAACCCAGAAAGAGTTACAAAAACGTTTATTCATCACTTAGTGGTACTATGCACTGGTTAGTGGTTGCAGTGAGTCTTAATTATACTTAACCTGGTGTGGTAAGCAGATATCTAAAAGTTTTCTAATTAGTCTCAGAAGAGAAGGGACATTCTTGCACTCGATAAAATGGGTAAGATTGGCTATAATCTAATAATCTTAATCTTCGCTATCAATAGTTTATTCTCAAGCAATGCCAGGCTCATCTGCTAATTTAAATATAAAAAATATTTATTTCATTAAAATTTACTATACGTGCCTTAAATCTGCTTATTCAGGAGACCAAATTTTTTTTAAAGTTACTTTTGAAAATGTTTTTGATTTTACTCAAATCAACTTCAGCCGAAAATCCTTTGAAATTAAATTTGTCATTTTTAATAGACTATAGAATAAAATGATATCAAACCAATGCTTTAAAATTCAAATTGTTATACATCTTAATGATGTAGAAATGCTATATTACTAATCTAATAAATTAAACAGATGCAGTCCTGAAAGTGGAAAATATAGATGATAATAACTAAAGAATGCTGAATCTTATTCAAAATTTGCTAATAAAAATATACTATGCATTTAATGTCAATGGTATTTAAGATAGGCTTCAAACTATTGCTAATTTTTATTTCATTATTAGCATTTAATTATCTTTAACTTTGTAGAAAGACAATAAATGTACTGTACAACTACTCTAGTATTTTTATTGGGAATTCTTTTTTGTATTCATCTATAAGAGCAGGTTTGTTCCATAGAACTTTGATATTACAGTCCCAAGCCAATGAGCAATATGCTCAACCCATTTTGTGCAAAGATTACTGAACAAAAATGTTGTTTTATTTTGATATCTAGAAATCATGTAGTGAATTCTATACAGTAGAAGTTTTGATTTTTCTTAGGTATCTTTACACTCTAACTGAAAAAAACTGAATTGCAAAACATAATTAAAGTATTATATTGAAATTTTACATCAAAATATTTTTAATATAATACTTTAATTAGGTTTTCAATTCAGTTTTTTTATTTGGCAACTTTTTTTATTACTATTAACTTTTAATTTTTATTCTATCTAATTATCTGTAAAAATTCTTCAAAAACTCCATGAAACTTATTACAATGTAATGACATTGCTGGATTATAACATTCAAAAAGTTGTGGAATAAATTCAAAAAAATTTATGAATTAAGGGAAATTTATCCAATTCAATTATTAAATAAATAAATATATATATATATATTATAGAACAAGATATTGTGCGTAATATAAAATTTCTAGCATTGACATGCTGAAATTATTTTTAAAATATTCATTTGTTTATTGCCATGAATAAATGATACAGACTAGTTGTTTTTATTAGTTAATTAGTCTTACCTAAATTTTTTCATTTATGATTGTCTTCATATTGAATGATTATTAATTAATCTAGTAAATTTTAAAATTTACAAAATTTAAATAAATTTAGCAAAGTAGACAATACATAGATGTCTTCTTTTCCTGTCTTTTTGCACGAACTTGAAGAAAAATTAACAGTGCCATGGCAGAGTCAACCTTTAGTTAGGGCTACTTGTCTGCCTCAATACGTAATATGTTGAAAAAGAAGACACTTATATATTGTCTACTTTGCTAAATTTATTTAAATTTTGATATCTTCTAATGTAATTACCGGTATTAATGACAACTCTAAAGAATCTTTACTTCCATACACAGGGCTGCCTTATATGTATATGGTGAATTTGCATATTTGCAACCATTAAGTCTCTTTGTCACATACACAGAACCAATTTACGGTGTGGTATGACGAAAAAATAACGAAAAACAAATGTTTTCGAACCCCTTCTGGGCTCTTCATCAGGTTCCTTTAAGTCTTTTTGTTTTATATGTTCCAAATGTTTTAAATTCAATGTTAAAAAATGTTATGTTTTAAGCATTTCAATTTTGGAATTCAATTGTTCTCTAACCTGAAGTAGACCTTGGGTAAGGTTAAAAGTATTCGTTGGTTGATTTACTAAACATTTTGTTACTGGAAGTAAAGGTTCTTTAGGATTGTCAAAAATTTAATCATCCTGGCAATTTTTATCTAATCTAGTAATTATTTCTAGGCTCACTGCATTATTATATTTTCCTTTTTATTTGAAACTTTTTGATTTACTTTCTTTTTATTGTAATCTTCAGAAATTATTTTGTCAATCTTTTTATTATCCAATCTATACAAAGTTCTCAAATTTTAAATTGTTTTAAATTTGCATTGCCACATTCTCAATGTTATCATTTGTGTTCTGATCTCTAATAGTTTCATCTGATTATTTTTCTACATTCTTGTTCATTCTAATTAATTCCTTTAAAGATCTTTCCTATTTTTTAGTTTTAGCTCTTTGACTATTTGCAGAAATTGTTGGTTCATTATCTTATGTTTTCAGTTAAATGTTGATTCACAGTATTCTGAATAAATTGTTTATTTATAATGATGTAGTGAAATTTTTTTAATATTTCAAATCAAGCATTTTAACAATTTTAAGAATTTTAAGCTGCTATAAAATATTGTAAGGTACTTTGTAAATATAGCAATACCTTGTACCATCTCAGTCAAACTAGTGTTGTATAGATACATATAACAGTAATAACTATTTATATTTGCAAAATAATTATTTTAATACTAATTTTGTATAAATTTGTTATCTTTCTATGAACTGTCTCACTCCTCCCTAATAAGAAGGAGGAATGAAACATTTGTCACAGCATACAATACTTATAATTTTTCTACCAGATATTAACATTGAAACTTACAATGCTTTTCAGAAAATACAGATGGTTCAAACTAAAAAGCTAAAAAAGAAAGACTTAAGAGTTTGTCAAAAATTTAAGCAGAGAAAATACTTTCCCAAAAGTGTCCCATTCCTCCAACTCCTCCCTATATATTTGTCTCATTTATTTTCAAAATAAAAAAGATTATAATTTAAAAAAAAGCGAGTTTTATAGCATAACTGTATTTTTAATAAAGAATGATTTTGTCAATTCATTTGTTATTGCTGCTGTCTTACTTAGCATTTTATGTTATTTTCCTGCCTCTCTTTTTTGAAGGACATTATCCTTAATAAGTATTAAAATAAAATAAAATTTAGAAAACAACTTATAACTTTGATTATGCAGAATTAAGACAAGACAAATTTTTTTAAGCTGTTAGATAAGAGAAGTTATCCTTTTACGCATTAAAATTTTTAATGTAATTTCATATTTAAAAATTATCTGCCAAATCCAAAGTTATAAACATAAGCTTTTTGAAGTTTTAAAACTATATTTTCTCATATAAACATTAGTGAAGTTTAGAATTTTATTTCAAAGATTATTTTTGAAATGTAAATCATCATAGATTTTAAGTAGCCAAGAATCTAATTACTTTATCAATCTAAAAACAAATGATAATTTTAACAAGTTAAATCATCATAACTGTAATTGAAAACTAGAAAATATTAAATTATTTACTTTGAAGATAACTTTTCCCAAAATTAATAACTCATTAAGAAATGCTTATTTTAATTTAAAAGGTGTATTATTATCTCTAAATAATTTCTTTAATTTAATATAGACAGAAAAAGAAGGTCAAGCAAAAGATTTAATGGAAGTTATGGATAATACCGATTCAGTTATAGTTGCAGGTGGAAATGGTACATTGCATGAGGTAATATAATTTCATTTAAAAAATCTGGTTATATTCTCCACATAACCATTAATTAAATCACTTATAATGATCATAATATTAATACAGTGGTACCTCAGGATACGAAATTAATCTGTTCTGAAACTGAGATCGTATCATGAAAATGTCGTAAGGTGAATCATTTTTTCCCATACAATTACATGTATAACCAAATAATTCATTCCAACACGAAAAACACACTCAAATTAAAGCTAAGTAGTACATTGAAAAAAAAAAAAAAAACTATAGTAAGGAAAACACTGAAAAATGCATTTTGTAGTTGTAAATGTAATTAACTGTAGTAAATGTACTGTAGTTAATGTAAATGTAGTAAAAGTAACTGTAGTTAATGTAAATGTAAATAACTGTAATAGAATAATAATTGATTAAAAAAAAAATGTAGTTTTATTTGCACTTTACCTTTGAGGATAGACAACGGTGGAGGTGTAAACTGATGGCGGAAGAGAGGGAGAAGGAAAATGATACTAAAACTTAACTTTCATAACATAATGTAACAATAACTTAGAAATAACTTAGAAAAGATTTAAAAAAAAAATTAGTGTTGTTTTTTTATATTTTTTTATAACTTATAGCATGCACAAAATAAAAAAGAACATAATATTAGTCACTTGTATTCACAATTTATAATTACGAAGATCAGCACACGTNCTCCAAAGAGTTTGGCTTTGCCTACTTTTTAAAATGTTTCTAAAATGACTTAGGCAAATGTCATTACTCTGAGCAGCAATACAGCTAGTGTAAACCTTTTTGGGATGTTTCTTTTCAATAAAATCAGTCACTTTCTGATAATACCTCAAGATTTCCTTTATCGAGCAAGATCCTTCCACAACGAAGCAAACACGTGAACTGAGACCAATGAACAGAAGTGAATAAAAAATGGCACTGCAAACTAATGTAACGTTGTATGGTGAGTTTTTGTTTGTATCGTGGAGCAAAAATATATTCGAATTTCATGTCACATCCTGAAAATTTTGTATGCTGGGGCGTTCATATCCACTGTAATAGGTTTTCTTTAACTTTGTTGCTCTATATAAATACAATGATTTTTTAAGGCAAAAAATTTGATGATGATGATAGTTTTTCTAAATAAAAATATTGTAACCTTTAGAAGTGGTATAATTACTATAATGGTAATATTTTAATATTTCTAATATTTAGAGATTGTTTGTATTGATAAAATAAAGATGATATAAACTTTTTACAAAACAGTAGAAATATAAATCAGTTTAGCATTTTATGCCAAAAACTTCCTTTTAAAAAACTGTAATTAGTTTATTAATATTATTGTTTTATATTTAAAGATTTCAGTTCTTGAAACTAATTCACATAATGTACTAATTTAAATAAAGTGCATAATGCATAAATTTAAAGTAAACTTATAAAATTACTAGCCAAAGCACTTGAGAACTGTAATGTACCAGTACAATGCACTTAGATATATCTGTGATAAGACAGGAATTCTTGTTGGATAATTATAACACTATACATGAATCATTTCCAATAGTAGTTTTAAAAATAGATATACAGGGTGTCCATAAAGTCTCTTTACAACTTAAAAAATTTATTGCAAAGGCAATTGATAAGATATCTTAATCAGATTTGTTCTATTGCACTTAATTGTTTTCAAAGTTTTAATCACATTACATTTGTAAATTTTTGGTCCATTTTACTTCCACGAGAGAGCAATTAATGCAGATGTCTATCTTGACCTTTTGACTGAATATGTGACCCCACAACTGCAGATCTTCAACTGACCATCATTTTCCAGCAGGATGGTGCCCCACCACATGGGGACTGCATATTTGTGACTTCCTTAATCAAACATTTCCAGACTGTTGGATTAGAAGGGATGGACCAATCTGTGGCCACCACATTTACCAGATATCATACCTCTGGATTTCTTTCTATGGGGTTATGTTAAAGATATCATGTATCAAACAAAGATACAGGACATTGTTGAACTGAAGCAAAAGAACAGATGCAATAACAACTGTTGGTGAGGCTATGCTACAGTGAACATGGCAAGAAATCGAATACCATCTTGATGTGCTTCCTGTGACTAATGGTGCCCGTGCAGAGGTGTATTAAATGAGGTGGAAAAACTTTGAAAACAACTGAGTTCAATAGAACAAATCTGATTAAGATATCTTATCAATTGCCTTTGCAATAAATTTTTTAAGTTGCAAAGAGACTTTAAAGACACCCTATATATATATATAGAGTATCCANCACAACATGATGATAACATATGCCTCTACAAACACACTAGCAAAATCTGCTATGGCTATTATAAAAGAAAACAAGAGAGCTATTGATGTAATGGAAATTAAGGTAAAAGTAAATAAAACTTGAATATAAAATTACACTTTAATGTATATATGCTGGTTATTTTGTAATGAAACATTCTTATTATTCAGTTTAAAACTGATAAAAACCAAACAGATGGACAAAAATTTTTCCTATTTGCATTTTATGTTATGGTTAATTTCATTAAAAAATTTTTTGTTCCATTAAAATTGTTTTTAGTAATTAGTGCAATATGCAGGAACAATCTTTATCTAGTGTATTAGTTAATTAAAAAATAAATTTGACATGTCCATACAGTACATGTCAAGAGTGTTATGTAGAGATGTTAAGTCAAGCAGTTGCAATAGGTTCTTCTCTTCCTATTCATTGCTCCTCAAAAGTTCAGATGTTCTTGCACAGCAGTGATGAAATATGGTGGGACATCATACTGGAACTATATANGCTCTTAGTGGCGAAATTTGGAAGATAGGCAGTGCAAATCGAAAATGAAAACAGATAGAGCAAACTTTCCAATTAGAAAGTTTTAGAGCATAAATTAATTAGTACGAAACGACATGTGGTTCACACGGATAAGATAAATTGTCGCCTGTATACCCAAAAATGTCCGAAAGCAATGCACGCCATTTTGTGTAAATGTTTGAAAGGAATAGCCATAGGTATGAAGAAATATGCACAATTTATTGCATAAAATATGTACTTACGTCAATACAGTTTGATGACAATGGTGTGTATCATGAGCAATGGTGAACTTTTTGAACATATTCGACATTAACTTGTTATCACTGTGTGACAGTTTGCCTTTCTGTTCTTTTTTGTGTGATGTTATCAAACTGTATTGACATAAGTACATATTTTATGCAATAAATTGTGCATATTTCTTTCATACCTATGGCTATTCCTTTCAAACATTTACACAAAATGGCAGGCATTGCTTTCGGACATTTTTGGGTATACAGGCAACAATTTATCTTATCCGTGTGAACCACATATCGTTTCGTACTAATTAATTTATGCTCTAAAACTTTCTAATTGGAAAGTTTGCTCTATCTGTTTTCATTTTCGATTTGCACTGCCTATCTTCCAAATTTCGCCACTAAGAGCACTGCTGTTGTTTGCATTAGGTCAGGCGTAGTCGCTTTACTATACTGTTACCTCACTTGCATAGCTGTAGCTCTCTCCATTCACAAGAATTTTCCAGTTAAAGGGACTTTCCTATGCACCCTGTATAAATAAAATACTATGATATAACAAACTCCAAATTTTTCCACAGCTGGTTATATATTAGTAAATAACACCAACAAAACAACCTTCAAAAATATTTACTTCAAATATACTTTAATATAAATATGCTATGACAAGCACTTTCGATCCTAATAGGATCTGCTTCAGGTCAAAACATTTGATAGAATTAGAATGCTAAAAGAGCAATTTTAAATTTTTTAAATTGCTTGAATGATTAAATATTAGAACAAGTATAAAAATCACATTTTTGTGTTAACAGTAACAATAAAAATAAAAATTAGCAATAAAATTAACATAAAAATCTAACAAATATATTTGTTACAAATCTTAACAAATGATCAACATTCATTACAAACAAATACAGATACTGCAAGAGTTTTTCTACAAAAAACAAGAAATATCATAGTTACATAAAGCAATAACTCTAGCAGACTCAAATAACACACCATTAAATTTACACTCACATCATACGGACATGACACAACATATAAGTATAGACACCATTAAGCAATCATGGGTTCAAAAGGCACTCCATGGCAGACATCCCTACAACCTGTCCCAGGATTTTGTTGACAAAACCGTGTCAAACAGCTGGTTATCTCATGGATGCCTCTTTGGTGAGATGGAAGGCTTCATGATTGCCATGCAGGATCAGGTCATAAATACTAAAAATTACATAAAACACATACTCAAAGATACAACACTCACAAATGACACATTCAGAAAATGTCACATCATTCCAGAAACTATAAAACATATCAATGTCTGGTTACAAACTCTTGGCACAGACAGATTATTTACATAGATGTAATCACATAGCAAATATAATACATCAAGATCTTGCAAACAAACACAAATTATTAGACATCCACAAACAATATTACAAATACATTCCACAGATAGTATTGGAAAACTACATGCACAAAATGTGCTATGACAGAGCCATAATCACAGATAAAACAATTTACCACAATAGATCAGACATCACACTCATTGACAAACACAATAAAATCACATACATTATAGACATATCTGTTCCAAATACACACAATACACAAAGCACAGCACTGAAAAATCAGCAAGTACTTAGAACTTGCCCAGGAAATAAAGCATTTGTGGAAGATGAATAGGTACTTATTGTACTACCTGTCGTTCTCTCCTGTACAGGTATCATACCACACACACTATACAAAAGCCTGAATAGAAACACATACATCACACTACAGAAGGCCACTATATTGAATACATGTCATATTGTTAGGAAATTCCTGAATGCAGATACATATACTGACACACTTTCTGTTTTGTTCTAGTTACTATGCCTTGACTATGGTCGAGCATAATACACAGCCACTGGTGTCAACTGAGTATAACTCACAAAACCCAACATAATAATAGTATTGATAATATGTTTTATTAAACAATAATATTTTTATTTAAGAGTTGGGCTAGGTAGAGGTTATTTGTAGCTTTACTGTAAACTGTTTTCAGAAATTCATTAGTCTATGGATCACAATGTATAAGATGTAGAGACATTTTTTTTTATTCTTTTCTTTAACAAAAATTACATCTTATATGCCATAAAGTACTCTGTACAAGGCAAATTGAGAGCACTGTTTTACCTTATTCTCATTGTTTTTATGAATTCATTGCCTGTTTTCAAGCACTTTATTCTTGGAAATTTGTTCAATTCTTAAATATTTATGATTGTTAAAAATATTTAATTTTGCCCCTGGTTAATTCCAATGATGACTAATATTAACAAAGACCTTGTGTTCATATGTCTCCTTATCATGTTACTTTGTTTCTCTGACATGGTTTGAAATCATTCTCAGAATGCAGTTTGTGATATTCTGTGGTGACTATTACACACGGAAACAATTTTACATATTTGTTTATAAATATATCATAATTTTTTCACTTTATCCAGGTTATGTTATGTTCTGCATACCCAAAAACTTCTTTTGTTTCAGCATTAGACAGATGTATTAAATTCTATTATTCAGAATGGAGCAATTTTCTATGTTAAATTTAACATAGAAAATTGATCCATTCTGAAGAATTTTTTCCATTTAGACAGGTTTCCATTTTATTCGGGCTCTGTTTTGGACAGGTTTCACTGTATTTGTAAATATTATAATGAAACATTTTAAGAATATTTGTGTATAATGTATACTTAGAATATTTAGAATAATTCTTTTCAGAAGAAAAATGATATAAGTATTAATTTATTTATCTTAAATATTACAGGCTGTGACCGGTCTTCTGAGAAGAAGTGATGCAGTAAGTCAAATTAATTTGAAATTCAAAAAATATTGAAATGTTTATTTCATTATTTAATTTAAATAGCTAATAAATTAATTATATATACACAGCATTTCAAAATTTCATCAACAAATGTATAGATGGTAGGTCTCACCAAGAGAGAGTTTTTGACAAGAGCAATGTGTCCTCTGGTACTTTACAAGGAATGTAGGTAGATTTTGGGACAATATGATTTATGTCTGTTTTGTGTACAAGTTACTTTATTCCAGACATTTAACAGATGTTCAATGAAACTCACTCAGCAAATAATAAACTACACCACAACACCTTAAGTTGCTGAGAGAAATTTATTAAAACGTAACTAACATTTTCGGTCAAATCAATTGGCCATCTTCAGGTTAATTGAGAAAAAAATAACAATGTTCTAAAAATAGAATATATAAATTTGAATACAATGGAACAAATTCAAAATTAACAGAAGAATTCTAACAAAATATATATATATATATATACATGATGTATAAAAAATAAAATAAAACAACAAATAGATATAATATTATATATCATGTAATAATATAGTATATAACATATGAAAAATGTAAAAAATGCAAAAATAAAAATCAAGGCATAAGTTGTGAGCTCTTAAAAAACTTTTTAACTGAGTACTTCCATGCAGATGGTAGCCATTCTTTGTCCCTTGCATTAATGCCGATGTCTTGCAGCTTTCCCTTATAAATTTCAATTTTTTCTGCACTCATTGCCATTTGTTCCATTGTATTTGTATTTGAATTTATATATTGTATTTTTAGAACATCATTATTTTTTTCTTAATTAACTTGAGTATGGCCAATTGATTTGACTGAAAATGTTAGTTATGTTTTAATATATTTTTTCAGCAACTAAGGTGTAGTGGTGTAGTTCATTTTACAGATGTTCAAAACATCTATCCTGAGCTTGAGTGTATTCATTACACCTATACAACACTGATTGTTGAACTCTGTAAAACATGGCTGGATTGTGTTTGATTTGGTGAAAAGCATTATTTATTTGCACAGTCAACTTCAATTATTCACTAAAGCTGGATGAATCATTCATGTACATGTACAAACATTAGCCTTAATTTAACACCAGCATACTTTAATTCAACTTTGATAAAAGTTTCTGAACTAATGATAGATCTGCTTCAGGTCTATCATTAGATCAAAAAATGTGTTAAAGTTGAATATTAAGTTTGTTGGTGTTAAATTAAGGTTAATGTTTGTACATGTATATGCAGAATCAGCTTCTTTCTGGTGTCAATTGGATATCATACACAACACTCTTGACATGTCCATACAGTACATGTCAAGAGTGTTATGTAGAGATGTTAAGTCAAGCAGTTGCAATAGGTTCTTCTCTTCCTATTCATTGCTCCTCAAAAGTTCAGATGTTCTTGCACAGCAGTGATGAAATATGGTGGGACATCATACTGGAACTATATATCTCTCCACATGACTAGGGAAACATTATCCATGAGCTGTGAAAGTATGTTCTGCAGGAAGTCAAGCTAAGCTGCTCTGTTTAAATATGACAGCAATATGACTGGTCCCAGAAGATTATCATCAGCAATATCAGCCCATAGGTTTACAGAAAACTGTTGCTGGTGGGAATTAACAAATATTGCTTGCAGCAGCAAGAACAATCACATCTGGAGTGACAAAAATCCACATTGCAATCACATCTGGAATGACAAAATCCACATGCAATGTGGATTTTGTCATTCCACATGTGATTGTTTTTGCTGTTTAAATAACTATGATGTGTGAAGCACAATTCAATTGTAAATAAGACATGGGTGGAAAATGCAGGATCAACATTACTTCATTGCAAGCCACTGCGCAAACTGCACACAAGATGGGAGGTTGTTTGGCTTCAACTCCTGCATTTTGTGGAGGTAATATGGGTTCATTTTGTGCTCTTGTGACGCTTGCCACACAAGCATGACTTGTGCCATGGCATGCATGCTAATTGAAGATCATTGATGACTCTCTCAAATACTTTCTCTCAAAGTTTGGTGTCTTTACATTGTGCCTGTTCCTACCAATGTTCTGCAGAAGATATTCAGTCTCTCTAAGGCATTGATGAAGTGAACCAAAGGATGTGTGTCAGACCTACTGTTAGAAAATTTCTGCTGGTAGATAAAGAGAATTGCTTGCCTGTTATCTCCTAACTTTCTCATAGCACATGTATGTGTCAGCAAGCTCAAACATCTCATAGGTGCCATGTCAATAGCTCATAGTGTCTGTGCAATCAGCAGATGAACAGACTGATGTTTACATGGTGTAAATGACTACAATGGAAAGACTTTCATGCCACCAATAAGTTCAACCCTTTGCCAATTAGAGGTTATTACATCAGTTTGTCTGTGCCAGGCATGACACATTATCTATCTACTAGTCCACAGTGTACTTTAAAAAAAGATGCATATCTCTTTATATAAGCATCAGAAGACAAAGGTTGTTTGTTAAAAACTGTTTCTTTTGACTTCTCTGAGTTGTCAGGGTGGTCTTGAAACACTCCATGTAATTAAATATAATTCTGATGTCAATGTACAATGTCTATTTTAATGTAATGAACTGCAGAAATGTAGTTTGTAATTATGTTGTTTAATTCTTATGAATTGTTTGTGCGTATGATATTATTCCACATGTGAAATTTATGACTGATTATCTTTATTTAAAATGCTTTTTTCAAAACTAAAGCTAAAAAATCATTCAAGCATTTTTGATTGTACATTTATCTTTGTAAGATGTACACTTGTGTGAATACTTGTGTGATTTTTCAAAATTTTTATTTTGAAGGGATCATATTATGTTAGATAATATGATATATTTAACAGTTTTATGTTAAATAGAAAAATAACAAACTGTTTCAGATTTATGATTATTTTACAAAAAAAGATTATTAGTCTAAACTTTCATAATTTAATAATTTCTTAATAAAAATTGAGAAAGTCTTATTGTAATATAATAATAATTTAAACTATAAATTGACATTAGTAATATTGCATCATTTATTGTATGTACAGTTTGCATATACAATTTCAATAATTTAGTATTGATAAAAATTCAACAGAATTTTTCTGTGATTTGCTTTAGTTTGTATTTATACTTAGATTACTTTACTTCTGATAAAAGTATAATAGTCAAAGTCAAATACAGTCGACCCCCCTATAACACTGTTGATAATTCTGTTTTATATGAATTCCATGTTGTACGAGTCACTTAGATTTTACAAATACGTGTGCCGGACTGTGAACAGCACACGTATTTGTAAAATCTAAATGACTCGTACAACATGGAATTCATATAAAACGGAATTATCAACAGTGTTATAGGGGGGTCGACTGTATT